ATCGACACATTTTTTTTTATTTGAAAAGATTTTTTTACTATTGTTTGGGGATACGTATTGTGACTTTTACTTACATTTAACGAGATGCTCTCCTCATTTCATCATATTTTTTTTGTAGGCACAAATAGAAAAAATTATCATTGTTCCCTTCTGGCTTCATATCCCCATGAGTCATTTCCTATTAATTCCTTCTTTATTTCCGCTTTTTTTTGTGTTATAAAAATACTGCAATTTTTTATTGTTGCCAGATCTTATTCAAATATTTCCTTTCCTTCTTGTTATTATTATTTTTATGCTGATTTCAGATGTTTTTTTGCTGAACTTGATACTTAAGAATTTGTTTAATGAGAAGCGTTTGGTGAAAATTTAATGTGATGTGTAGCCATGAGAGTACGCTGTTTAAAGACAAATGTATAGCGCTACTTGATTTTTACGAGAGTAGCCAGTGTTGGAAGTTATGAAAATGTTGTGCTCAAGATGCTGCAATGAAGTCACTCTCATTTAGTGCCAAAGACCTCAAAACCAGAGCTCAAAGTCAATAAGGTTCGAGTCAACTTGAATTGTCTCGATTCGACTCAAAACCGAGTCGACTCAATTTTCTTGAGACGACTTTATTTTTTTTCGAGTTGACTCGAGTCGACTTTGAGCTCTGCTCAAAACTAAACTAAACACACGAACCGAACTTCACATCTAAAACAGTGAAATGAGAAACTGCTTCTTAAGTTTTGACTTGGTCTGGGATTGCACTCACGAGCCAACGCTCTACCACTTAGGCTACTGATACCATAGTACCGCTATATAGTGCGCTAAAGGTTCAGTAGCATGATAATCCTGTGCTTCCCATTTTATAATCAAAATACCAGATAAGAAGCTCACAATCTCTTATTTAAGTAGAATTGAGACAGAAATGTCCTCAAATTGAACCTCCTTCGAAAAAGAAACAACACCAATTAGTGGTCTGAGCACTTGACCGGCAATCAATAGGTGCGAGGTTTGATGAATTTCTTTTTTTTCCAACAGCTTTTGATATATGAATGTAACAAGCAAAAATCTTATTAAACATTAAAGTTCTTTCATTTAGTAGCCCTAACATTTATTGGAAGGTTAGGACAACAACTAGTCATGGTCAATTCCCTAAACTGAATGAAATCTCGATTTTGCACTTCCAGGATCCAATATATTGTAAAAAAAAATATTCCACTCCCCAACTTGGCTCATCAGTCTCAGCATCATCAAAACAAGACAAAAACATATGCGATAAGTTTATTGCAAAAAAATATTGTGGCATAAGGCGTAGCTCATAGTAAAATAGTAATGAGAATATTCAATTCCGACATTTATTGTTCTGTCATAAATTTACGAGCGGAAAAAGAATGAAAAAGAAAGGAAATATTTTAACAAGTTTATCATAAAACTGTGATGAAAAGTAAGAAACTTGCAGAGTGAAAAATTTTCCTCAATTTACAATGTGCCGCAATATTGGCAGCATCAAAACACGTTTCACTGCTGACTTTTAATGTTCACAGCATGGTTGAAGACGATAAACTCGGCTGTAACATAACAATCAGCAGTTGAAGCGGCAGAGAAAAAAATAGTAAATTTCGAAATAAAAGAAAGGAATGAGAAGTTGTAGGCAAAGAGCTCATTACGAATGCAGATAATCGAACATTTTTCATAATTTTTCATAATCATCAAAAACAATGATGAAATATGACCAAAAAATAAGGAGGAGAAATATCATTATTAGATATGTACACAATACAAGGAATTGTGGATTATTGCGGTATTTTTGTGCAAGGCATTTAATATTCAAAACATGTCTCACCCAACTTTATTTGGTAAGCTGTAGGGAGCGCTAAGAAATGAGATCGATTGTACAGTATTATGTTGAATCCATGCAATATTGTGTATAAAGAAGGAATGTTTTGGAGAAAATAGGAAAGGACGCTCTTTTTGGGAACTGTCAATTGTTCTAATCGATGTGATTATGTTAGATGAAGATTTTTGTGATTATTCTGATTAGAAATTGGATTATTCGATTGGATTTGCTTTTTGGGTCAGTTTATGCATTGAAATTAGGAGTGTTTAGCATTTATTTCAATTCAATTATTTTGGAAGTAGCATCGTAATTATTTCTGACTCATTTGGATCCAAATCGAGGTCAAAATCATAAGATAGTGACAATTTATGTGGAAATCTTGACTTGATATTGATTTAATTAAAGTTTTGAAGGCAATTGTGGTCTTAATTTGATTTTTAAGGTAAATATTAGGGCATACATGCTTGAGTAAGTGCTAGAGTTGAAGCTCTCTGCATAGCAGATAATAAAGAATCTCAAAAATATTCTAATCATTGTTCATGCGTCTAAGCCTGCCCCACAAAAACCTCATGAACATCTTCTCCGTTCATACGTCTTATTTGTAGCTTATTCATTCTCAATATTCACCATAACCGATGATTCAAACTTTATTTTTCTTTTCTGAGTCAGAAGCTCACAGCATAAGCAATAGAACAAGAGTATGTGCATGACGGAAGTGAACTGGAATTTTTCCAATATTTTTTTTTTAACTCAGAATTTATTTTTCATCTTTCTTCTTGTGCCGACATATGCAGTATAGATACAAACTATTGAGGCGTTTCGCGATTTGAATATGAAATAATAAAGAGAAATAATCGAACAATGAGTAGGTAGCAGTAAGATCTAGCGGTTTATAATAAAGTATCACAACATTATTGCAAAGAACAAACGTGATTACTAGTACATGTAAAATTGATGGTTTTATCGGCTTCATGTCAGTTATTTGATATCGGCTGTGTATAATTAACTTATTAAAATCATTCACATAAATTTACTTATCAAGATCTACAGCATAGTAAATATCTTAATAGGATAGTCGATGAACATAACGTGTTGTAACGACATTGCATGCGATAACTTTATAATCGATATATTATGCACTTTATGATGATTTCTTTTTAAAAATGTGATAAGCAATAAGTTCTAATTTTCATCGACAGGATTACTATTGATAAATTGATTTGATTCCCTGAACGGTATGCATGCGTGCATGGAATTCGATCCGATGAATTTTAGAAATAAATTTAAAAATGATGATGTGCTTAAAAGGGTGACACAGAATGGTGTAATAAATTCTAATCATCTTGGCGTTATGCAATTCCACTTATTCGCATGATTACGAAAATTTTTCATCATCATTCTGGATGAGATGAGCAGAATGTAAAGTTTTTATTGTGTCCCCTTATGAATATTCTACTGAATTGGGTTTAACAATGAATAATGTTATCTTTTACAATCATTGTTGGTTTGACTGACTGATTTATTGAATGAATCTGGTATTCATTTGGGAATTATTTGAGCATTGGGAAATTGATTTCAAGTTGTGAAAGGTAAACTGCAGGGGCGTAGCCAGAAAATTTTTCAAGGGGGGGCCCCTTGAAGGAGGAAAATTAAAAAACCGTTATTTTGTATCCTTAAATCTATATTCATTCTTCATAAGTTTAAATATTTAATTCATTATTCATACATTAAATTTAATTTTTCGTGCTGATTTTGACATTTCTTTCATCACTTCCTCTACATTAACTGGTTCTTCTCTATAAATACTTAATAAAGCAATTATCAGATTTTCGTAGGGGGGGCCCGGGCCCCCTATGGCCCCCCCCTGGCTACGCCCCTGGTAAACTGACATTTGATGAAGTTCGTTGAGGTTTCTTTTCATAATTTTTTTAAAGGTTTAGTATCTATCGGGCTGGTTTTCTAAGGTTATCAAAGGTATTCAAGCATAATTTTAGTCTTACTTAATTTTGGAGTCTAAGAAAAGTGGAATCTGGGGTATTGAATCTTAATAAGTTATATTTGTCAGTGCGAGAGCTAGGCCTCTGTGGCGCGAGTGGTTAAGCAACAGTCCGGATATCTGTGACCCTCTATTGTAAGTACATAGGTTCGATTCCTACCAGAAACCGATCTCTTAATCATTATATTGAGTGTTGTCGCTTTGACAAGGATCTGCACAATGTTCTCGACATTATATTGATGCTACGTAAGTAATTTGTTTATGATTCTGAATGAGGGTCCCCAAAGAAGTCCTAGATTAGGTCTTTTGTATACTGTTATACATGAAGGTCTCACTTCTAGGGTACAGCTATGGTAATGCCTAGAATTGAATGAAGGCTTTGAACTACTATGTATAACTTAATAAAGCTGGCCCTAGTGTATAGCAGAGCTCAAAGTCGACTAGAGTAGCCTCAAGTGGACTCGAGTCGACTCGAACCCTATCGACTTTGAGCTCTGGTTTACCCTATGCAATATTCTCCATTGAGAAACATTCTGTCTATGTCTTTATCTATACAGTACATCAATAATTAAATCAAATGTAAATTTTTACAAGATCTATTCACCCAAAAAAAAAAATCAATAATTTTAACCGAATTTTTAAGATTTTCTAAACAATCACAAGAATATTTCTATAAAACCCTCAAGTCGACTCTCTGTCTGACCGTAAGAATTGACAACATAAAAAGTCTTCAACACTCCCTTCTGACAATGAAAATATATACACAATACCAATGAACAAATTTCCACAAAAAGAAAATAGAATTTTCCCTACAAATTTAATGAAATTAGAGGGTTGTTTACATTTAACAACGTTTTTCTGGTTAACTTGAATGTATTTGTTTGTAGATCTCATCTACATCTGATTTTACAGAGGATTGAATAAAATGAGTCGTAATATTACACACAAATACAATTAAAGGACATGCTTTTGCTGTACGTTGTCTACATGAAAAACCCCAAAAAAATATAAAATTATAGCAAAAATGTTTTTACGATATCAATAGCATTTAAATCTACGTCGTATACAGCAGACATGGTACAATGAGTTTATTGTACATAAAATTGAATCATTATCAGATTGAAAAAGAATCAATTGGACATAATAATTTAATTGTTCATGTCAATTTCTCAATTTAAACTCTACCTTATGCTTGCCATCCTAATCCGATTACTGACTGTATCCCAAATTGTTGTCGGTTGAGCCCATTTCATAAATACTTCATAATTGGGCTCCATTAATTCCATTTCCTTTACGGAAAGTCCATCTTCACAAATATTTTCCATCATTTTTCTTCATTCAACTTTCTCTTTTTTCATTCACAATCAATTTGATTTCATCATTGTCGTCCATTTGATCATCGACATTTCACAATAATTAACTTTTCTTGTATATTGAACATTCTAACACAACATCAAACGTCGTCGCGAGCGAGATATGAGCACAAAAAGAACAAAACAATTTGAAATCATGTTCAAGTTTAATTAAAAAAAATTCCAATCGAATTTGAAATCGATGGAAACGAGTTTTTTTTTGTGTCTGTGCGATGCACTGCAGAAAAATTAAATAACGTAAAAAAAGCAGCAAAAAAATGCGAACTAACCTAACGCGCTAAAAATTTTGTTATGTTTCCGACGATGAAACAATACTGAACTGAACTGTTAAAGAACTTTTTTTTATTATTATAGAAGTACGTCAGGAGAAAAATAAGTGAGAAGGAAAATGAGAGAAAGGTTCTTATGCCAGGGATGAATTACGAACACAATGAGTCATTTAAATGGGAAATTCCCAAATGTGATATCCTCAATACATATCTGAATGGCACGAGGTCACATGTGTATGTATGTAAAGCCTGTATTTTGATTTTAACCCTCCTCTCCGCGAATTATATTTTGTCGACTATTGTATCACTCGACTATTGTAGGGCGAGAGATGATCATAAAAAAAAATTAGAGAAACAGTCAAGGGTAGAAAATGTTTTGCTGCTGACTGACAATGTTCCTGTTTGTGCTTCTTATTTGTAGAATTTCTTTAGTCATTAAAAATTTTTATGGCCTTCATCAACAACAAGGGGTTGTGAATAACATATTTGACACATTAATGAAGTTTTCTAGGTGAAAAATGTTGTGACGTCATAATGAAATTTTTGTTGGGTTAGAAATGAAATTGAGTTCAATATTATTGTCTTAATGTAATTATAGGAATAAGCATAAGGGAGGGATGAGTGGTATATAGTCGGTTTAAAGAGATGATTGGGAATGTAATTAGAATTATGTGTGTGGATATTGTTATTATTTTGGAGAATTAAGGCATACGTGATTACTAGCTTCTTGACTAGAATTTTGTAGTTTTTCGATTAACAATTAAAAAAATCGACCTTCAAGCTTTGTTGGAATTATCGATTCCCAATTGAGATAGTACAAGTCTGCTTATCGATCAGAAATCCAGCACCAGGCCGGTGTGACTCTGGCATGGTGCTGGATTTGAATCAAAGCGCAACATGCCAGGGTTATGCTGGTTTGTCGCCAGATTCCTATTCTATTAACCGACTTGTGCCATTCTGGCAAGGTTTTGATTGTTATTGATTATCGAACCGATTCTAAGTATCTTACAGAGTCAAAGGCAGCCTTATTGAACCCCTAAGTTATACGATTCTAGATCTGAACTTGATATTACTTGTATTATCAAGCATCTAGCTGCGGCCCATTTATTTCTTATGTAACGCGAAAAACCGGTTCTTTAGACCCTCCTTCCTTATTCATGAATTTAAAAATTTATTTTGTTTTGTTTACCTCTAAATTTCAATCTCCTCCCTAGAAGCGTTAAGGAATAAAAAGATTACTTCCTAGCTCTTTGTTTGTAAAGGTTCAGATCTTTTCTAAACCCAAAAATTGTATTTTTGTTATTTCTTTCTGAGACTCGTACTTAGCTTGTGTCATCTTTTGACGTCCAAAATTAACGGTCATTTTTCAAAAAAGAACAATGGATTTCCTGGAATTTCTATTGTTCTTTTCTTGCTGACCCTCCCTGGACGTCATAAGTGAACGGCCCCTTACTATTTTCAACAATTTCAATCCAAGACAACTGCATCAACCAGTCACTCATCCTCATTTTGCGACCTTGGTTAAAAATTATTCTCTTGCAACACTGAATCCTATCCACAGTCCCAAAAATCACACACCAAAAAATCAAAAGTTCTTCCACCCTGCACATCTTTATTGTTATTTTTTGTTGCACATGTAGTTGTTATAGGTTGCAATAAGGATATTCAATATTTCCTGGCTGTGAAATACATACGTACAATACCATTTATTACACGTTGTTTTGTTCCTTTCGCTCTCACACATAACTTTTATTTTTTTTTTAAATCGAATATCATATTCCTTCTGCACAGTCAATGAAACATGTGCTGTACGCTCTCTTTTCTCAATCTTTTTTTTTATTATTTTATTTTGTATACATTCATTGAAGGAAATGTACGTAAGTGAATATTGCAGTGCATTTTTGTGAAGGGAGAGATGTATTTAAAGCACTTTATTGAATAATTCTTGTTCCTCGTGCTTGTTTGTGATTAAAAAGGGTGAAAATGGTTTTATTCCCTTCCACAAAATTTCATTTTTATTCCCCTGCCCACGCACATATACACACACATGCAGCTAGTTCCTAGCAAGAAAAAAATATTGTTTGCCTTTTAATGCTCGCTAGAGAAAATGAATATGAATGAATGTTTATGATGGCATCGACCACGTGTTCAAAAATAGATTAGCAGTATTAAATATTTAATGCAGTATCATGCACTTGTATTCTTAACATTTAGTCTATGTGTGTGTGTTTGTAAAATGTTTTGACATTCAGATGTCATCAGCGTTACGTTATCGCTTTAATTGAGAATTCATCAAATGTTGTTTTACGCGGTAAAGAAGTAGAGAAAGAAAGGAGAGAGAGAAAATGATGGAATAAAATTTATTTATTTTTTGTTGCAGAAAATGTAAGAAAGTTTGGAAAGTTTTGGTGCAGTTGACGGGAAAGGAACGCATCGATATGCAGACTGATTTGTCAACTTAGCTTTCCTTACACTTACTACTTACTTACTTCGCTGGTCGTACAAATCAATTGTGATCCATAACCACCTTCAGATGTCAACGGAAGCTAGCTCTATCGCTGGCTACCGCTTGCCAAAAGTTAATATATTGATCGGCACCAGGCACGTAACCAGGGGAGAGATTTGAGAGACAAATTCCCCGACGACAACAGAAATTTCTTCATTTTTTTAGGAGTTTAAGGAAAAAATCTGAATTTCCCATACAAATTTTTTTGTACCCCCCCCCCCCCGTCTTCAAATTTCTGGCCACGCCCCTGATCGGCACACATTGAAATATTTGCAACACGACAGCCAGGTTTAAAGTTTAATTATAAGCAGCTCCAGCTTCGAATCCATTTTCAAGTGGATGCCATTTTTTCCCCGTACCTGCCATTGCCAATTAGCTCAATCCAGCTGCAGTGTAGCAAACATATCAATGAATTACAATGTGTGCCGATCGGGTATGGAACCTACGTAATTTTCAATGAAATTCCATTTCTCAGTCTATCACTCGCTCCTGTGGATACATTCCAATCGAAGACGCAATGATTAAAACTCATAGACCGTAGAAATAAGACAATCAGCATATCCTCGAAACAGACATTAAAAATCCCGTTTCAAATTATTCATCAGCCCCTCCAATTAGCCACCAATCAACCCAAAAAGTCAATATAAAGTTAATTCAACATTTGTTTTGCAAAAAAATCTGCTACAAAAGCAAGAAGAATGTTGAGTGCCGAGCCTATTACAATCGAATGAAAATTTTCTTCTTCTTTCGCATTGAGTCAGCTTGAGGTTAAATTCTTACAATGAAAAAAAAAACATTTTCTTCTTGTTTCTCTTCAATTTTATTTTTAAAAAGACGTTTTATTATTGCTATTGATCGATTTATTCATGTTCAAACTTACCTTTTTTTTAATGGAAGCAGAAAATGTGTTTAAATTTGTAGAACTCGAATGGTCTATATCCAAATAACAGAACTGTTTACTTCACTGACTTTTCTTTTATGATTCAATTTTTTTTTATGTAAACATGATTCTCACATTCACACTAGACTCGACTGTAATTATGTACACGCATCTATTGCTTTAGCTTTTTTTTTTGAAAAAATACACAAAGATTTCTCATCGAGATGATAAAATTCTCACCTCAACCTAATAAATATTTTTTTTACTTCCTTTTTTTTTTGAACTTTATAAAATTATTTCACAAGAAATTTTAAGTTTGCCCCACACATAAAGTCAGTTTTTCACTTCATTAAATGTTTTCCTACCCAAAGTTAACATAACAGGATTAAAAATGCTTTTTTTGTATAATGTGCAAATATTTACACTACACTAGCAATGTGTTAATGCTCACTTCTAACGCAAAAACCAATTTTTACAGTCAATTTGATATTTAACATGAAACGGACGACGATATGCGTATGAGATTAATCCTCTTGCCTTCTTTTCTTTTGATAATGAACAAAAAAAAGTTAAAATAATTGAAAAAAAGCAATTTCAATAACGAACACGAGATAGAATGGAGCAACACGATCAACAGTCGCAACAATACTGCTCTGGAATCTTCACATTGAGAACATAAAAATCGCCGTGCATGAAAAGAAAAGAAACAGAAGAAAAAAATTATTTCTTTAATGTTTTTCTTTTGATATCGGCTTTCTTGGCTGTTTCTATGTTTATTTGAAGAGAATGAGATCTTCTTGTAGTTTATTGGAAGTTTGATTCATCATTGGAAGAGCATGAGTTCAAGAGAGTCAAGATTGAGGATTTTCGAGAGAGTCAGAATGAGAAAGAGAAATGATTTTGGTTTGTTTTGAAGTTGCATAGGTTTAAGGGGCGATTGTGTTGGATATATCGGGAGACGAAGCTATTTTAAGGCGTTAATGTCATGAAAGTGATCGAAAATTGTAGCTTATTCATTAAATAATTAAGCGATTGTTGACTTACTTACTTAATTCTTACTTTCTTGGCTGGGGTTGGGTGGGGCGCACGTGATCTTACTGCCACGTTCAGAGATTTTTTAACGAGAGCTGTATCCTTCGAAAACTTCTGCCAGTTCTAGATGTTTGAGGACTCAAGCGTTCTTATCAACACATCCAATCCAGATATTCTTTGGTTTTACTCTAGATCTCTTGCCATCCATAAGGTCTGCGAATGTTGGTGACTTTAAAATCTATTAGAAATAGGATTTTTTGACTTAACTGTCTGGATTTGCTAAAAATTCAAAAATTACAATTTTTCGAAGATTTTTCAAATTTTCAAAATAAAAATTCTGTCAACTCCAGATCAGTCTATTGACCTCAAAAACAATTTCTTTTAATAAACATCCATCCAACGCCTCAATAATTTGCCACATTTTCATCATCTTAATCCATCATTTTTCATCCAAAAGAAATATTAAGTCACTCATTTTCCTTTAAGAGCATTAAATTGTAATAATATTGTACCTATAAATCACAAGCTATAGCACCAAATCTTTCTTCAAAAGGAAGGAAAATCCTCTCAATTTGTGACAGTCTATTAATAAAAGTCTTTAACATTTTCACACATTTTTCACTTTTTATTTTATCAAAAGCAACATAAATTTTGTGCCTTAAAACGCGCCAATTGAAGTGAAAATTGATGGAAAAAAGTGTAGGAAGCAGTCAATTTGATGTCGATTTTTTATTGTTTGACTGAAGGGAGAGGAAGTTGAGTCTGTCTTAATAAATGAGATAATATTAGGAAATTCTCGATTCATTAGTTTTTGTGAGCTGATACGAGGGTTGAAATCTTAATTCCTTTAAACAGACACGAAAGAATTTATTTCTTTTATTTTTCACTTCCATTGTCTTGACTTTAAAGAATTCTTTTTGTGCACTTTAATTGCTAAAAATTTTTAAATGACGAAGGAATTTAATTGAGCATGAGGGTTAATTTTTGTATTTCGGGAAGTTGTTGGCTGAAATTTTCTTCTGCATTCATCCATCATAGATGAGGTGTGTGCATAAATGACGTTTTAAGCAAACATAAGGTTTTAAGGTGTCCCAGGAACTTACTTTAACTGTTTAAAATAAGCATGGGTTTCACATGGCAATGATTAAATTAGAATTTGATGCCAAATCGGCACCAGCAAGGGTTTATCCAGAAATTTTGGATGAAAGGGAGAAGAAGGTTTGATTTACAAAATCTGAGAACTCCACAAACATTGATACTGATTCAGTAGCCTTGATGGCTCAAAGAACATTAATAATGTATCATGGAACTGCTCCTGACAGTCACTGTACCCTCAAAAATTATCAAACATCACTGATAATCGACCCCTCATCTTATATGAATGCCAAACAAAGTTTCAAGTGACATTCCAAGCCAACATTGTAGCTGGCACAATTGAAAATTAAATCAACTGTAAAAAAGTTTTTCATTCATGCAATTTTTAAAGCTAAATTTATGTCTACACATCCAACCAACCAGTTGACTGTTGTGGTAATTAAATTCAGTTCGAAAGTTATTCATGACTTCCACAGCAAAGAGCTGGTGCGGTGTGGAGGAGTGAAAGAATTTGCATAAAGGTCGCATAAAGTTTTTTTTTTCTTCCTCGTATCATTTCTCGCTTCTATTTTCATTTGTGGCACAGCTGTAGACTGTATAAATGGATATAAAATAAATCAGACAGAAAAAGTTTTGTGTACTTTTGTGAATATATCTTCAATTGTTGAATTTTTTTTCATTAATGAGATTCTTTCTGGTTGTGCTGGAATGAACAGTTTTTTTGTGGTTGAGATTTTTTTAAGGATATAAAAATTATGTTTATTGAATGAAATTTCTGCTGTGGTTTTTGTGATAATTTTTATCATCTGATGCTGGGCATTTTGAATTTTTAAAGTTTTAGGCAGCGTCGTTGCTAGAAAATTTTGCCTTTTCATGATAAAGAAGATGAATAAAGCTTGTGTCTATAATATTATTATGTCCACTCAAATGAAAATAACTAGTTTAAAGAGGAACTGATTAAGGAAGTATTCATAATTTTAAAAAAATTATCATCAATTATTTAAATTGATGAAATGAATAAAAACTTTTTTTTAAACTTCTTCTTCCTGTTATTTTAAAAGTAATTGACTATAGCTCATGTTCGATGCTCAGTTCTTACATAACGATTTGACTGAACGTCTGATTTATTTAAATTTATATCAATGAATTTCATGATTTTATTGATATTTTATTCTTTATTTTATTATGCTCAGAACATTAACGATTTTGAGTTTACTAATATAACATGTAGTGCAGCTTTGGAATATGTTGAAGTTCACGTGTGTGCAAAAAAGGGAAGACTAGCTTCAGTTGATGTTAGTTTTTTGAAACCTGTGAGTAACTTTAAGGTTCGTATCAGACAACTTTTTGAAAGAGTTTGTGGAATTTTTGGGAATTTTTCATAAAAAACTGGCTCCGCGCTTGGTCGCTTTACTTACTATAGTCAGGTTTGATTTTACAGAAAGATTTTAAAAATAGGATTATAATGCTTAGTTTAGGGTCGTTTTCAGACGGAGGTTTTAAGAACGAATCATATTCTTTTTGAAAAAAAAAATTCTTTAATTTTCTAGAGGGGGGGGGGGGGGGTTAAAAGAAAAAAACATCCCCGCCACAAAAACCCCTAGACACGCCCCTACCTTAGTTAAAATAATTTAGTCACATATTTTTATTTTTATTTTTTCAGGCAAACATAAAATTCTTTCTAAAAAGAAACAACAAGCGGTCAGAAATTTTCAAAGCACCTCCAATTGAGTGGTGTAAAATGGTAGATGGAAAATCTCAAGCAACGAGTTTTCAAAAATTACTTATAAAATCTATTCAGATCTCATCTCCAAAATTTATCCATCCATGTCCATACGAAGGCAGACAGTCAATTATTAATGCTACTGCTCCAAAAGATGTTGTTGAAATCGTTCCGACTGGATTATTTGAAGTGAAATTGAGATTTTTTGATAAAGTTGAAAATAATATTTTATCAATTAATGTTAGCGCTAATGTATTTAAATTATCTTAGACACGTGAATAAAATGATGATATTATTTTCATGATTTGAAAATTATGTCGCACATCCAAACCCGAGATTGGGAATAGAAAGGAGGGTCGACTCCTTTTCTGCTCCCGATCGCGCACACATTAAATGAATTTTAATGTGTGCCAATAGGATCTACTGTATAACAATTTTATACAACTTTAATATTTTACAATATAAACTAGCTTCCACAGAAAAGAAGAATGAAAAGATCCTAAATTTTGAACTACGTCATTTATGATCAGCCACTTAATTAACTTAGATTCTTTTTGTTGAAAGTCACTTGATAGAAACTGAGATTAAAACTAGATAGATGACTAGATGAATGCTGTCATCGTTCTAATATAAGTCTTGGAAATGTTTTAAAGCAGTAAAATTTAACGCACATGCTCATATTTTAAGCACATAATTAAATAATCAATTAAAAAAGCTAATCAAATTTTTTTTAAAAAAATACAAACACGACAATTTTTTTACAAACTTTACTTCCTGTAATTCAAAAATAATTGATAATAATTCACATATGCGAAAATTGGTTTAAAAACTGATGCTTATTGTTGAATTTTCGTTTAAATGTTCAGCATCGGATTTGATTTTTTTTCTACAAAAAATTCATATCAATGAAATTAACGATTTTAATAATTTTTTGTGCTTTATTTTCACTTGCTCAGAATGTCAACGATTATATTTTCACAAATTTGACATGTCATGGAGCTTCAGGATATGCTGAAGTTAATGTTTGTGAATCTCAAAAGAAACAAGGTTTTATGGAAGCTGAATTTTTACGACCATTCAGTAATTTTAAGGTATTTCTAATCGAATTTTTTGGATTTTAAACTAAAGCAAACTTACTTTTTAAGGTTAGCATAAACTTTTTCCTCAAAAGAGGCAGCAACTTTGTTGAAGTTTTCAAAACACCCCCAATCGATTGGTGTAAATTCGTTGATGGAAAGGCACAATTAATGAGCTTTCAAAAATTGCTCATTAAATCTCTACAAAATGCCAGTCCACACTTGATTCATCCATGTCCATATGTTGGAAAGCAAATTATATCAAATGCCACTGCTCCTAAGGATGTCATTGAAATTCTTCCACAAGGAACGTTTAAAGTAATTTTGAAAATGTTTGATAAAATTGAAAAAAGCTTGTTTAAAATTGTTGTCCATGCAGATGTGGTAAAATTGTCTTAATTTGATTTAAATTGGTTTTGTGAAATTTTTGAATAAAGCTTTATAAGCCTCAGAAGGGAACGTTCATAAATGGCATCCAAATTTATTGAGCTGGTTCAGGAGTTTTGTAATGAATCAAATAAAAGAAACTTTTATCATACAAATTTTGTGACATGTGAGAAGAAGGGGGTCTAAAAATCCTTTTTTTATGAACGTCATTTAAGAGCAGTTCCTTAGCAAATAAGATTTGATTCTTTTGGTATATTGAACATTATTAAAAAAAACTTATCAACACTCAAATATAAATATGGAAGGAAATACATTCTATATGAGAGTAGTGGGGGGGGGGGGGAGTGAGGGAGGTATATCTGAAAAATTTGTCATTGTTTTAAATTTTAAATTTTTTTTTCAGCTGATCAAAGCAAGTAGCAAATAACGCATTAGATTGAGGAAATAGACGTAGACTTTGATAGTCGATTGACTCGACTCGAACTTAAATAAGTTTCCTTCTTAGGGTTCGTTCACTTATTACGTAACGCACTAGGGGGGGAGGGGGGGGTCTAAGATTTTGTTACGGTTTGTTACAGGGGGAGGAGGGGGGGGGTCTAAATTTTGTTACGTAACTTTTCAAAAATTATATTTTTTTATAATTTTTTCTATATTAATTTTAAATTTTTTTTACGTTAAATTTTAACTTAAGAACTTTTTAGTTATAATTGCTTTCCTTCTATTTACTTTTACATACTTAAAGGAAGTATAATAAACATTTGATAAACAATTTAAATGAAAAAAATTATTGTTACGTTATGGGGGGAGGGGGGGGGGGGGGTTCTAAGATTTTGTTACGCTTTGTTACAGGGGGGGGGGGGGGGGGGGTCTAAAAACTCGTTTTTTTGCGTTACGTAATAAGTGAATGAGCCCTTAAGTTTCAAGTTCTTTTTTTATTAAACTTTAAAGACATGCGAATGCACAGAAATGAAAAATATATTTTTATCAACTTTATCAAAAGCTTTAAAGATCACCTTGAATGTGCCAACAGGAACGATTTCAACGACATCTTTTGGAGAGCTAACATTTAAGATTGATAGCTTTCCCATAAATGGACATGGTTGAAACAATCCAGTAACTGAATTTTGAAGGGTTTTTATAATTAATTTTTGAAAATTTAATGCTTTTGCTTGGCCTTCCATCATCTTACACCAGTCGAGGGGCGGTGTCTTGAATATTTCAAAAAACTTGTTTCCTCTTTTTAGATTAAAATTGATGCTAAGCTACAAAATTTTCATATGTTATTTAAAAGGACAATTGTTAAGGATATTCATACTACTAAAGTACCATATAGTTGGTCATAGGCCTTAGGAATGAAATTACTAAATTTACTTGTCGTTTTTCACATTCACAAGTGTGAATCGCTACTGATTTTCCTGATGTACTGCATGTCATGTTGTACAATTCATAATCATTTAATGACAAAATTCTACAAAATAAGGAGCAAAAAATTATCGATAAAATGAATTTCATTTTTACTTTTTCGTATGTAGCTTCAACTTCAAATGATCTGTTGAACTAAAAGAAATAATAATAAAAGTTTTTTTAAAAAAAATAAATTTTAAATTGTTGAAAATTGTGTCTTTCCTACAATTATTTTGAAAAAATCTAAAACGCGTGTATACATGCAGGTTACAAGCCATGACCTTGATGAGATAACTTCTTTGATTTTCTAGAGCTTTTTAAGAAACTAGTAAATGATTATTTAAGAGTAATTCTAGATTAGGTTCACTCCTTTAAATCATTAAAGTTGGAAAACATTGATTCCAGGAGAGAATCGGGGTTAAAGACATTTGCATGAGCCTAAACTGTTAAAATATTTGTTTCAACTTAATCAAAAGCCTTGAAGCCAAAAGTCGGTTAATTGATCAGATATCAGATGACAATCCGATAAGACTCTTGCATGGTGCTCGATTTAATCGAAGCCGGTACAATTCCAGAGTCATGCTCTACTCGATTAACCGACTTGTGCTATTTGGGTTAACTTGAATATTCCAAATAAAAATATTTCCAAGACATCCTTCGAAGCACTTGCTTTAACCTCAGATTGCAGGACACGAATCACTCAAATAGACATATTTTATAATATTTATCATCCGCCTCATTGCTTTATGGTTTAAAATAATTTTTGATTTAAACAATTTGAACATTAATTAAACTTTGAAATCTTGATTGGATGTATTTTAGATCAATTTTAAGTTATTTTTAACTTAAAAATACATTTTTGTTTATTTTGTTCCCCAATTTTCAATGATTACATATCACTTGTGGTTAAAGGGTTTTAGCTTCATGATAAATTGGAACCTTCGATCAGTAACAATAATTTCGTGTCACAAACGATGAGCTCTTTGAGCTTAGTTCTATTTAATATCTTATTTTTGGATGTTTTTGCAGTAAATGATTATATTTATTATAATTTAACTTGTGAAACATCTGCATCTAATACTGTTGAGATAAATGTTTGTGAATGTACAAAAAAGAAACTCTTTTTGGATTTTACGATCACAAAACCTTTAAATTGGAGTGTATGTAGAAGTCAAACATACAGTCTCGTTAAGGATCGTTCACTAATGACGTCCGACATTAACTGTCATTTTTCAAAAAAGAACAACAAAGGAATTTCTTTTGTTCATTTCTTGCTAACCCCTCTGCTTCCTGGACGTCATATAAGAAAGACTCCTTACTTTGAGTTGGTATTGGTTTAACTAATTCTTTAAATTCCACAGATGACAATAAAATTCCAACACAAAAGAGGCAATAAATTATTTGAAATTTTCAAAACGCCATTAATTGACTGGTGTAAAATGATGGATGGACGATATCAAGCTGCAAATTTTCAAAAATTTGTTGTGAAATCTCTTCAGGCTTCTGCTCCGAATTTCTATCAAAAGTGTCCATACCAAGGAAAATATACGTTGTTTAACGTCACTTCTTCTAAGGATGTTGTTGAAATCTTTCCTATTGGATCATTCAAGCTTAGTATTAGGATCTCTGACATGAAAGAGAAAAATATTGTAACATTTAGCTTCTACAGTGATGTTTTTAAATAATTTTTTAAGAAAGAAAGTAGAAAAGATGTAGTTGGGAAATCAGGGGCGTAACAGCTTAGTGTGAATTGGTACTTGATGGTAATTTTAAAAAATATAGTAATACAGCCGCTTTGTTAATACTATAGCTTCCTTATCATAAAAATCTAGCTTAAACTTTGTTAATGTAAAGATTTTTGATTAAGTCAGAATTATTTTTTAATTTTTGGATGGTAAATTTGGGGGTTTTGGAAAAAAAAATTCTCTGAAACTGATGAAATTTAAATAAAATTTGCAGGGTTTCAAGCCTCATCTGGTTTAAATACGCTTCTGTAAAGGTATGAAAATCCCGAGTTTTGATCATTGTTCCGATCGACACACATTGAAATTTATTGAAATGTTTGCCACAATGCATCCGGGTTGATAGTATAATTAAAACCAAGCAGCAGCCGCTTGGAAGCAACTTCCAACTGGATACTAAGTTGTTGCCACGTGGATGCCATTGCCAATTGGTATACCAGTGACAAACATTTTAATGTGTGCCGATCGTGTGTGTTCAGTTCAACAATAGGTTTTATGGAAAGACATTCATTGAACTACTGTTTTGTATGAAGCTTCAACTTAACAATCTGCTGGACTAAAGCAAGATTCGATTAAATAGTCATTAATTCATTAGTTGCAGCTGAAATAATTACTAATCGAAATGGTAATTATAAATAAACTTGATCTTGATTGTTATTTGTTTTTACTCAAATAAGGGGTCGTTTGCATAATTTGTAACACTAATAATTAGCATTTTTACCCTCAAAGTCATAACAAGATTTATATAAGTTACAAAATATGTAAACGATCCCTAATTTTAAATTATTTTTTAAAAATAGCTCTTTAATATCTCAAATAACAACCTTCAGTCAGTTTTATTCATTTCATATCCCAATAATATTCTTCCAATAATGAATTGTCTGTGCCTAGTTCTATTTTGTATTATATTTTCAATAAGTTTAGCTGTAAATGACTACAATTATTACAATTTAACTTGCGAAACATCAGCTTCTAAAACTGTGAAAGTAAATGTTTGTGAATGTACGAAAAAGAAAATTTTTCTGGATTTTACAGTATCAAGACCATTGAATTTTAGTGTATGTCTAACATCAAGTGATTGCTAACGATTCCAATAACATTTTACATTCCACAGATGACCATAAAGTTTTATCAAAAAAGAGGCAAAAAAATGTTTGAAGTTTTCAAAACGCCACTAATTGACTGGTGTAAAATGATGGATGGACGATCTCAAGCTGCAAGTTTTCAAAAGTTTGTTCTAAAAACTCTTCAAGCTTCTGTTCCGAATTTCTTTCAAAAGTGTCCATATCAAGGAAAGTTTACATTGTTCAATATTAGTTCTCCAAGGGATGTCGTGGAAATTTTTCCTCTCGGACATATTAAGCTCAGTACAACGATTTCTGACTTAACAGAGAAAAATATTGTAACTTTTAGCGTCTTTCTTGAGGTTTTTAAATAACTTCTGTTGGATTAGCTTATTAAGGCTCATTCATTATTCACTTATTACGTCCGTGTTCTGATTACGTACCTGCCACAAAACTATCACTGCTGTCGACTTCTCCCTCACATTTTGATCAACAATCAACTTTGGATTTAAATATGAAAAATTAAAAAAAAAATTAATAATTTATAATAATTTTGTTCACAATCAATGATTTTTTTCCAAAAACTTTCAGAAAATCAGATTATTTATTTTTTAAATTATTTCCACCCAAGAAGACTAAGAACATAAGTTTAAAAAGGACATTTTAAGGCAATGAGAAATCAAATCCCAATTGTTTATTATTTTGCTTTATGGAATTTGACATTTGCTGTGAATGATATTGAATATCTCAATTTGACATGTGAAGCATCAGCTTTAAAAACTATTGAGTTTCACGTATGCGAATGTTATAAAAGGTTAATTTCTTTAGATTTTTCGGTCACGCGACCTGTGAATAACTGGAAGGTATGTGAAAATAATTAAGTGAAATTTTAAATTTACATATTATTAATAATTCGTTTTAGGTGGATATGAAGTTCTTCTTGAAAAGAGGGGACAAATTTTTTGAAATTTTCAAAACACCTCCAATCGACTGGTGTAAAATAGTTGGTGGCAAGTCGCGAGCACTGTCTTTTCAGAAGATTCTTCTTAAATCTCTTCAATCTTCAGCTGCTAAATTTATTCATCCATGTCCATACCAAGGAAAATATACTGCATTTAATATTACTGCACCTAAAGATGTTATTGAGATTTTTCCTACTGGATCGTTTAAATTGAACTTGAAAATTTATGATACGATTGATAGCGATATCGCTAATTTTAATTTGAGAAGTGATATATTTAAAGTTTAATTTTGATCAATAAGACAACTTAGGATTCCAATTTAATGAAATAAATTATTTATCTATGAATTAATAAATCTTGAATTAAAATCTCATTATTTTTTCTTTAGAAATATCTAGTGAAAGTATTCAGCGTTCAATGAACAAAAGAACTTAGTTCTAATCTAGATAAAGTATTCAGCGTTGAATGAACAAAGGAACTTAGTTCTAATCTTGATACGATATTCAGCGTTTAATGAACAAAGGAACTTAGTTCTAATCTTGATAAAGTATTCAGCGTTTAATGAACAAAAGAACTTAGTTCTAATCTAGATAAAGTATTCAGCGTTTAATGAACTAAGGAACTTAGTTCTAATCTTGATAAAGTATTCAGCGTTCAACGAACAAAAGAACTTAGTTCTAATCTAGATTAAGTATTCAGCGTTTAATGAACAAAGGAACTTAGTTCTTATCTAGATAAAGTATTCAGCGTTCAATGAACAAAAAACTTAGTTCTAATCTAGATAAAGTATTCAGCGTTTAATGAACAAAGGAACTTAGTTCTAATTTAGATAAAGTATTCAGCGTTCAATGAACAAAGGAACTTAGTTCTAATCTAGATAAAAAATTCAGCGTTTAATGAACTAAAGAACTTAGTTCTAATCTAGATAAAGTATTCAGCGTTTAATGAACTAAAGAACTTAGTTCTAATCTAGATAAAGTATTCAGCGTTTAATGAACAAAAGAACTTAGTTCTAATCTAGATAAAGTATTCAGCGTTTAATGAACTAAGGAACTTAGTTCCAATCTTGATAAAGTATTCAGCGTTCAACGAACAAAAGAACTTAGTTCTAATCTAGATTAAGTATTCAGCGTTTAATGAACAAAGGAACTTAGTTCTTATCTAGATAAAGTATTCAGCGTTCAATGAACAAAAAACTTAGTTCTAATCTAGATAAAGTATTCAGCGTTTAATGAACAAAGGAACTTAGTTCTAATTTAGATAAAGTATTCAGCGTTCAATGAACAAAGGAACTTAGTTCTAATCTAGATAAAAAATTCAGCGTTTAATGAACTAAAGAACTTAGTTCTAATCTAGATAAAGTATTCAGCGTTTAATGAACTAAAGAACTTAGTTCTAATCTAGATAAAGTATTCAGCGTTTAATGAACAAAAGAACTTAGTTCTAATCTAGATAAAAAATTCAGCGTTTAATGAACTAAAGAACTTAGTTCTAATATAGATAAAGTATTCAGCGTTCAATGAACTAAAGAACTTAGTTCTAATCTAGATAAAGTATTCAGCGTTCAACGAACAAAAGAACTTAGTTCTAATCTAGATAAAGTATTCAGCGTTTAATGAACAAAAGAACTTAGTTCTAATCTAGATAAAAAATTCAGCGTTTAATGAACTAAAGAACTTAGTTCTAATATAGATAAAGTATTCAGCGTTCAATGAACAAAAAAACTTAGTTCTAATCTAGATAAAGTATTCAGCGTTCAATGAATAAAGGAAATTAGTTCTTATCTACATAAAATATTTAGCGTTCACTGAATAAAGGAAAATAAGTTCACATGAACACTTTTTAATCTCGTGCTGCTAAAACTAAATTGCTTTAATTATTTAATTTTAAATTTTTCTAAAAATTCAGCAGACAAATTACGACTTTCATTCATATTATATTGGCTTAATAGTCATGAAGACTCTTATAATATACCTATTTGTAGTTAAAATTTCGACTTTACTAGCAAATGAAGTCGAGTTCTTTAACACAACGTGCTTTGGATCTGAAATTATTAAAGTAAATTATTGTGAGACCAGCAAAGACACGTTTTGGGTTGAAATATTTATCAATAAACCCTTAAACACCTTTTTTGTAAGTTTAATGAATTCTATTACTTGAGTATTAGTTTTTGTAATCCAATAAATAGTTCCAGTATGAAATCTATCGTAAAACAGGTAAAAAATACACTCGTTATGGTGCATCACCTCCAATAGATTGGTGCAAATTCAACGCAGGAAACCTCAAAATATTGAGTTTTCAAAAAATTCTAATTAATACATTCTTAAAGCCCGCAAAAATGTTATTTCATCCATGTCCATTCCAAGGAAAGCATACGTTTTTTAATGTTACACCACCAAAGCAAGTTTACGACGTGTTTCAACCTGGAACGCGGAGATTTTTAATGTTGGCATTTGATTCTGAAAATACAACAATGTTTTCGTTGACAACACATTTGAAAATTTCTAGGGAATAGGATTGAATATTTGCATTTATTCATATAAGAGGTGCTATTTTATAAATTTAAGTTTTTACCAAGATATATAGATGGGCTCATACAGAGTATACTTGACCATACTCGACCATACTATTTTTTGTGTACTTATACAAACAAAAATTTTTAAAATTTTCTATTTTCAAGTTTTCATTTAAATATCGACAGATGCAACAACATTTGTCTTAAGTCAGTTTCTTTAAATTATAGCAAAGCATTTGCAATACTCCTGTATCAACAAAACTTAACAGAAAGTTGAAAATTTTGCAAAACAAAAATTGAAAATTTTCTTTTATAGTGTTAGTGTTTTTAGAAAATTCAAATTTTTGACGTTTAAAAACTGCGATATTTTTGTATGAGCACATCTATATATCTTGGTTTTTACATTGAAGAATTCAGGGATTTTTTATTTGAAAACCAATCTGTTGTAATAATTTCCTTTAATGGTTTAAATTTTGCTTTTTAAAAACATTGTTTTCAAATCTACTAATTGCTTTTATTGGTCGCGCCAAGTGGAAATCGCCAAGGGTACCAAACTTATCAAATGATCAAATCATATGCATTACACATAGACTTCCCTAGATTTCATTTCTGTGGCTGAACAGTACATCATATGAGCCAGTAATATTGTTCAGATTGATCCAACTGAGTTTTATGGCTAACAAAGAGAGGGGGGGGGGGGGGGTTATTGTATGAAAATTCATTCCTATCTATTTCTGCTTAAACATGATTTAAATAAAACAAAAATATAAAATTGATAGAGTTTTTCAATCATTTCTTTTCAAACACCCCCCCTTTTCAAGTTCTGGCTCTGCTGCTGATTCAACAATCATCCTCGCTCTTGGCAATTATATTAAATATTCTGAATAATTTCCTGTTATTGACTCAAATTGAGAACAATTTTCTCTTATTGTAAATTTATTTATGCGGATGTTCTTATTCAACCTTTACTGCCTGAACGTCATGAAGATACTTTTAATAATTCTCCTTTTTTTCAAAATTTCGACTTCATTTGCTAATGAAGTTGAGTTCTTCAATACATCATGTACTGGATCTGAAATTATAAAAGTTAATTATTGCGTGACCAGCAAGGACACATTTTGGGTTGAAATATTCTTTAATCAGCCTTTGAACCAATTTTTTGTAAGTTGATTCTTCGTTAAAAATCTACATTAGTATTATTTTGATTTAAATTTTGTTAAGTTCCTATACGAGACATACCGCAAGCTTGGAAAGAAATTCTCTCGAACTAATTCGAATGCATACATCGATTTATGTCAACTAAATGCAGGAAAGATTCAGATAATGAATTTTCAGAAGATCATGATGAACACATTCCTGAAATCTGCAAAAATGTTATTTCATCCATGTCCATTTGAGGGAAAACACACATTTTTCAACATCACACCACCAAGTCAAGTTTATAATGTCTTGATGCCTGGAACATTGAAATTTTCGATTTGTGTATTAGATGCTACAAATACAACATTATTTTCACTTACGTCATATTTAAAGGTAACAAACTAGGTCTCAATGTGAGGAGCAGCTATGATTAATTTATAAAAAATGTTAATTTATATTTCTTGTATTGCATCAAAATTGTAAATTGTTAATAAAATTATTTTTTGAACACCCTTGGCTATATCCTTGATTTTTTTTAATTGATTGCGTTCAGTTTAGTTCCAGTAGAATTAAATGTGATAAAAATTATTTATTTCTATTCAATTTTGCGTGAACGTTCATTCGAAATGAAGACTTTCCAACTTTTGGTCTTGTTTTGTTCATCATCGACGATTTTTATGCGTAAAATTAATTTTGTCAACACGACATGCATTGGATCCGAAAAGAAAATTATTGAAGTTGTTACGTGCAAGTCGAGTAATGATAAATTTTGGGTTGAAATTGATTTTAAACAGCAATTGAACAACTTTAATGTGCGTGAATATTTTTTAAAAATTTGAATTTTATTTAAATGTTCAAAAACAAAATTGCAGGTTCTGATTGAAATCTTCCAAAAACGTGGCAATAAATATTTTCAATTCTACAAAGCTCAACCGATTGACTGGTGCAAGTTAAATAAACCAAATTTTAAACTAATAAGCATACAGAAGTTTTACATTGAAATTCTCTCAAAGCCTTTTAAAGGACTTTTTCATCCATGCCCATTCGAGGGAAGACACAGATTTGATAATATATCGTTGCTGCCAGAAGTCCTTAATGTCGTTTCTTCAAAATCAATGCAGATTGTTTTTCAAATTTCAGATTCTAAGAATTTTATGTTATTTTCATTAACTACTAATTTGATTTTGTCTGAATAGATTTTACGTTTGCTTTTAAGGGGAAGGGGAGGAGGGGTAACAGCTCAAACGAAAGAATTTTTTTTAAAGGATGCGGAACTGATAAATTACATTTTGATCATTTCTGATCATTATTTGATTAATTTTTATCAATTTTGATCATTTTTGATCTTTCATATTCACACAAAATTTTCAATTTTTGTGAATATATTTTTGATCATTTTCGATCATTTAATCAGGTTCGCACCTTTAGTTATTTATTGGAAAATAATTTTAATTTAATTTCAATGCTATTCAACTTTTTATATTGAACAATTTAAATTGATAATAAATTTGAAAAATGGAAAATGCTGGTAAGAGGAGCTAAACTTGTGTACCCCTTTACATGATTTTAAGTCATTTCATGGAGTAAGCAGAGTGGACACACCTTGCTCAAGACTAATGGGTTTCGAACTACAGCTCTAATACTATTCTTTCAGTCTCCATTTGAGCATCTTCAAGTGTTATTGACATTTTGCCATTGGGACCATACAAATCTATATTCAAGGGTGCGGATATGAATAATAATAATAATTCAATAATGATTATGTTTTCTATTTTATAAATATTTTAATGTCAATAATTTTTGGTAAATTTTAAATTCTTTATATTCAAAAATAATCTCTCATGTTTATCTAATAATTTTTTAATTTCTATCATTTTTTAATTTTTTTTTATCAAAATTTAAAATCACTCTTTAAATTCTTTACAATCAGACTTTCATCTATCTTAACAACATCAGTTGTTACAGTCATGAAATTAATATTTTTGTTCCTGTTGATTTCAATATTTAATTTATTGACAGCAAATGAATACGAACTAGACTCCATAACGTGCATAGTTACAAAAAAAGACATCCTAGAAGTTCTAGGTTGTGAATGCAACAAGAAACAGATTTGGATAGACATTAATATCTTGCAGCCTATGAATGATTGGAGTGTATGATAAAAATTACAAGAAAAAAAGTGTTTAAAATTAAACAATTTCATTAAATTTTTCAGATTCAAATCGATTTTTTTCAAAAACGTGGCGAAAAGTTGTTCCAAGTCTTTAAATCGCCACCGGTAAATTGGTGTAAATTCACTGAAGGACAGTCTCAACTGATGGGTTTTCAGAAAGTTTTCATCAATGCATTTCGAAAGTCAGCACCAAGGATGTTCCATCCATGTCCATTTGAGGGAAAACATACATTTAATAACGTCACAGCATCTAAAGGAGTTGTTGATATGATACCTTTGGGTTCATATAAATTGGTCTTTAGAGGAATTGACAAGGATAATAATATTGCATTTACAATCAGCTCTGCTTATAAAATATTTTAAAAAATTTGTGAGGGATCAAAGTTTTAATTACTAATTTGTGATAATTATGAGGAGGACGGGGGGTCCAAAAAAAATATTTTTTATCTACATATTCATAAATGACGTCCATCATTCTAAAGTTTTGTGAAGTTTCAAATAAAATGTCTCTTCAATCAACTTTTGTGACTCGAAAAGGAAAAGGGTGTCTAAAAATCTCGTTTTTTGATGGATATCATTTATGAACAGCCTTAATTGTGATGTCACTTGAGTATACAAAACTGTAGTTGTGATTAAGACTAATTAGAAAAATAAATGAAAATTTTTGATTTTTTTAATTATAAAATTACTAGTTTTTTTCCTACCGACCTGAATTTTTGATATTGAACGACCTCAAAACGAAATTCAAAGTTCAATAATTTTAAAAAAATTTTGCTTCCTTAATTCCATCAAATTTTGCCAGTTTTCACGTAACATTATATATTTTTTTTAAAATCTTAGGTCACTTGAACAATTGAAGATGAAACTGAGCATTTTAGTGCTTATACTTTACAGTATATTTCCATTTGTAAAAGCAAATGATGTTGAATTTACCAGCATAGCTTGCAAGTCGGCACAACAAGATGTAGTCGAAATTTCTGTTTGTGAATGGAACAACAAGGAGATTTGGTTGGATTTTAATCTTGTAAAGCCTTTGAATGATTGGATTGTAAGCTTTATCTTACTCGATCAGCACAAATCAGTTAATCGACTTTGATTTAAATCCAGCACCATGCCAGAGTCACGTTGGTTTGGTGCCAAATTTCTATTCTATTAATCGACTTGTGCCATTCGAGTTATTTATAATTTTAATAAACTTTTTCGGCGGGATCAAATAGAAGCTGCTCTGTCAGTTTAAAACTTTTGTACATTTCCTTATAGATTCAGTTTGAGTTCTTCCAAAAGCGTGGCGACAAGCACTATCAAATATTAAAATCACCGCCCATAAATTGGTGCAAATTCAATCAAGGAGAAGTTCAGCTGATGAGTTTTCAAAAAGTTTTTATGGATGCATTTCGAAAAAGAGCACCAAGACTTTTTCATAAATGTCCATTTGTAGGAAGACACAAATTTTTTAATATGACATCATTTGAAGTTCTTGCTAGCATGATTCCATTGGGAACATTCAAATTAGTCATTCGAGGGATCGATAAGGATGACAACTTGCTGATGACTTTCACTTTTACGTACAAAATATATTGAAAATATTTAAAATTTTATTAAAATTCTGTTTTATAATTTTGTTAAAATTTCGAATAAATTCAATAAAATTTGAAGCTTTGACAAAAGTTTTTAGAGACATTTGATCATTTCCTGATAGTATGCCTTAAGTTTTTCAACAAATTCGCTTCGGAATTCCTTCTTTTGATCATCAGTCAGTTTAACTTCCGACAAGACAGATATTTTTGCAATATATTCTCCAGCCTTACCAGTTCTCAATGCCTTATTCATGCATCGAAGTTGCTTCTTTGATTGATTAGCTGTTTCAAAGCTGTCCTTAATGACTTCCTCAAGCGACTCGAACATATCTTCAATGCGGTCCTCGCACTCAAAATTCAATTCAATGTTATTAGGATTTAAATTAATTGTAAATTGATTGATGTCAACAAGCTCCTTATCAACGACATATTTTCGGATGCAGTAATCATTTTGTTTTTCGTCGAGCGTGTCTTCTTCCTCCACATCATCTTTCATGATATTGTCGAACATTTCACCAAATACAGGCTCGGAAACGCAAATTGAGACAGCAATTTGAAGTTTATTCTCAGCTTCTGTGTTTGTTGCTGATATAAGCTTCTTCTTCTGCTTTTTGGATGTCTTTACAGATTTTTCATACACAAAAAGCTTCATCATAATTTCTGGAAAGTTGATCGTTTCCAACTGCTCACGAATGCATACTGAATTGTCTTTAATAAGTTGACCAGCTTCTTTACTGTCTTCACTTTCTTCGCTTGATGATGCACTTTTTGTAGTATCTAGAGTATTAAGAAGAAGCGTCTCACGAAGCTCAGTGATTATTGGAGCACAATTCAATTCTTCCGACTGTACAAAGTATTTGAAGGTCTTATCAAGAAGCTTCTTATCTCTTAAGTAATTTGCAACACATTCGAACTTTTCAGCATCTGTTTCAACCTCCTTTGCAATTGCAGCTGATAAAATGACAGTGAATATGATGAGGCTGTAAATAAATTTGTCATCAATTTGATTTTATTTGATTTTTTTTTTTTGTGTAAGGTTAGCTTTACGATTTTTGATATTTCAATGCCAATTTTAAAACTTTTAATTGATAGATTGTAAGGTTAAGGAAGTTTTAGAGGAGAATAGAGTCGAAAGTAACACCAGTTTTAGAGGAGAATAGAGCTATAGAATTTAATTGTCAAGGTTTCGGTTGCCTCTACATTTTAAGAGGGATCAGGAGGGTCGGTTCCAAGGATATAACAAATCACTTCATCATTATTCGCTTAATAAATATTAATTAATTATTTTCAAATTAATTATCCACAAAATACTTACAGTTTCATCTTCTTTGAGTTATTCCAATTGTTGACTTCTCGAAAAACAAATCAAAACTGAATCACTAATAACAAAAAACACAAAATTTATAATCCGAAAGAGAGTGAAATGGTGAGTAATCTTCGGTAACTTTTGACACGATTGCTGATAAGAACCTGTAATAAATAAAGAACTGTTTGATGTATTAAGAGCTGAATATGAATTGATTTCTAAGGAGAAAGTGAGAGAAGATCAGCTGAGGGTCATGAGAGAAGTTTGCGATGATACTCATGCTCTACGATCACAACATCAAGAGAATCAAGTTAACAAATATTTAAGAATTATTGAAGTTTTATTATTTAACAAAATTCGAATGATACATATTGATGACTTCCTTAAGACATGACATAGAATAGTTGCAATATAATGACACCAAACCAGCTTGAAGATTGCTGTTCTGATGCTTCTATTTTGCAACTTTTCTCCACCCTGTGTCTTTTGAGTTCCTTATTCCTGATTTTGTGACAACAAAAATTACGAAACTTCCTTAGGGGCTGTTCACTTCTTACGTAACGCGAAAAAATGACTTCTTAGACCCCCCCTCGTAACAAAATTTGTATGAAAAAAAAATTTCCTTGTTTGAACCGTAACAAAATCTTAGACCCCCCCTCCCCCTAAAAGCGTTACGTAATAAGTGAATGGCCCCTTAAAAATTTTATTTAAATGCACTTCATCGCCTGTTTATGCAGATTTTTGAGAGTCTGGACGAATTCAGATCGCAACTCTTTCTTCTGATCGTCAGTCATTTCAATTACTGTAAAAACTGACATTTTTGCAACATATTCAGCGCCTTTCTCTGATTGAATGGTTCTATTCATACATCGATAATGTTTTTTGTTCTGACCGGGAACCTCAAATATTTCAATAATGATTTTCTTTAGTTCCTGAAGGACACTGCCATATTGGCTGTCGCAGTTAAAGTTTAGTTCAATATTGTCAACATTTAATACAACTGAGAACTTTGTTGTATCAATTAGCTTATTATCAATGACATATTTACGGAGACAATAATCACTTTGTTTGCCTTCAAGTGAATCATCATCCTTGCTGTCATTCTTCATTAGGTTGTCAAATAATTCCCCAAAAACTGGTCCAGAAGTGCACAATGAAAAACCAACTGCTGTTTTTAGTTTAGCTTCAGTTTCAGTCGCTGATGACAGCTTCTTCTTTTGATTCTTTGATATAGTTTTTGAGTTTTCATAGACATAAAGGCTCATCATTAAATCAGTATAGCCAACTTCGTCCAACTGTGCTCGAATACAAGCTGAATTGTCTTGATAAAGCTTTCGCTTATCGCTACTTTCTTCGCTTTCTTCACTTGAAGCTGGTCCGATAAAACTATTTAAAGTATCATCAAGAATCATTTTCCTTAAGTCCGAAACAATTGCATCGCATTCTAATTCATTAAATTGTGCGTTATATTGGAAATTCTTATCAAGAATATTTTTAGTTTTAACGAAATTTGTGATGCACTCGTATTTTTCAGCTTGTGTTTCTGGTAATTTTGCATAAACTGCAGATATGATTACAGCAAACAAAATGATTCTATAATAAAATGAATGAAAAGATGTCTTAAAGTTTTTTTAATTCTATATTAACATTATTCTTAAATTACTTTGCTTCTTAGGACTTAATAAACATAGCAATAAGTCTTTAAAATTCCTTTTATTTTAACTTTAGTGGAGTTATAAATCTTCTACCTCATTCAATTTTGTGTTTTAAAAAATTTTTAAATATAAATTTGAGTTTTGATAAGCTTTGACCTTGACTACATATTCATAGCAAAGTAATTTATTTCAAATTGCTGGTTCTTTTTTGAAAAATGACCGTTAATTTCGGACGTCATAAGTGTTTCTTTGTCTAAGTAATTTGTTTCATTTGTTGCGAATCCTTTTTAACGTGACATTGGAGAAATCTGTGATTAAGGTTATTTACGGTTATTTATTTATTTATTTTTAAAACTCTAAGAAAAATTTCTAATGCTATAAAAACTTTAATTTCAAGAATCATTTGAATTCAAAAATTTATAATTAAAAAATTTATAATTCAAAAAACAAAAAAATTTCATAGTATAAATTTAAAGTAATAATAAAGTAAAGTATTTGTTAATTACGAAATTATCACGTCCGCAGTTTAAATCTTCTATCAAATTTTTGACTTCTTGGTTCACATAAATTTGCTAATCTAATACTGATCATTAGAACAAAACTAAACTTAACTTAATAATGAAGATCTTTGGTCTATTATCATTTTATTCTATTTTAAATCTTTTACATTTTTTGTGTCGTTAGATTATTTGATTCTTTAAATTCAATAAACAAAAATTCTTACACTTTCATCTTGTTTGGGTTGATCCTAGTGTTGACTTCTTAAAAACCAATTCTGAACTAAATATCAAATAACAAAATCCTCAAATTTATATTCAAAAAGAGAGTGTAATAATGAATTATCATCCGGTAAATTTTGAGATTGTTAAAAGAACTTGATATGTATTAATATAATGTTCTTTGGTAATTACGTAAGAACTTATAAATAATTCAAGATTCGGGAGAGAACGAGAGTAGGATCTTGAGGATGTACAATTGACTTAAATGCTCCTCTAAATAACGTTCAGAGAGAATACATTAAAAGAGAACAACTTAAAGAAATATTCAGAAATCAACAAAGTTTTATTGTTTACTAGAGTTCGACCAATACATCAATTAAAAATCTAATGCAGGACTTAAAGACTTTCAAATACACTTGATCATCTGCATATGAAGGTTTTTAATAGTCTGCACAAATTCAGAACGCAACTCTTTCTTCAGATCATCAGTCATTTGAAGTTCTGATAGCACTGAAATTTTCGCTATATATTCCACACCATTCTCTGATTTGATAGCTTTATTCAAGCAACGAGCCTGTTTTTTATTTTGACCGGGAATCTCAAAACCGTCATTTATAATTTTCTTTAAATCTTCAAAAATGCTGTTGATTCTGCTAATGCATGTAAAGTTTAAGGCAATATTGTCTGGATTTAATGTAACTGTGAATTTGCTTATGTCAATCAACTCCTTATCAATGACATATTTACGGATGCAATAGTCATTTTGTTTATCATCAAGAGTCTCAACTTCTTCGTCGTCATTCTTCATGAGGTTGTCAAATAATTCCCCAAAAACTGGCTCAGAAACGCACAACGACACGGCAATTGCTAATTTTTTTGTAGCTTCCATTTCAGTCGCTGATGTGAGCTTCTTCTTTTGATTCTTTGATGTCCTTTTCGACTGTTCGTAGACGTAAATTTTTATCATTAAGTCAGCGTAGCCAACAGCATTTAATTGTCCTCTAATACATCCTGAATTATCTTTATACAGCTTTTTCATATCCATACTTTCATCACTTTCTTCATCTGTAGATGATGCGCAAATGCGTTCAAGAGTTTCATCGAGAATTATTTCTTTAAGGTCCGTAACAATTGAACCGCATTCTAATTGATTAAATTTAGGAAAATATTTGAAATTTTTATCGAGAAGATTTCTATTTTTTAAGAAATTTGCTGCGCATTCGTATTTTTCAGCTTCTGTTTCCGCTACTTTTGCATATGCTGCAGATATGATGACAGCAAACAAAATGGTTCTGAAAATATTTGAAACTTATAAGGGTGATTTTTTATTTTATATGAGTTTTATGGTCTTTTATTTTGAACATGAATAGGTTTTGATGAAAAATTTAATCTTGATTAACTTTGACCTTGACCATTTAACCTCATCAATTATTGGACACAATGTGAGAACAAAAATTGAATTTTATAAACATTAATGATTATTATCTGATTCAGTTACTTCGGGGGTGAGAGGGGGGGGGGGGGGTCTTAAAAAGAGGCCTTTGCTCTTGTTTGTTATAAAAATTGACGGAATTCACAATAAATGAGTAGGAACCAAGAGTGACCACTGATAGAAAATTATAAAAATTTGATACATCAGTTCCGCAACCTTGCAAGGAAAAGAAGTCTCTTTCAAACCTACAAAAACGTTCAAACCTTCAAATGTTTTTTAAAACTTATTTTATTATTTTAATGTTTTGCAAAATAAGGAATTCTCACAATTTCATTTTCTTCTAATTATCTTGCTGACTAGTTCCTTAAATGACGAACAACAACTGATTATGCTGAAAAAAAATCTAGATCTGTATTAGAGCAATAAAATTATAAACAATTTCTAATAAATTTTGAAAATATTTTTATTAAAATAATTCAATTGAGCGCTTAGCAGAATAAAATGAGAGATTTTAAGAAAATTTTCTGAGATTTGTTCTTGTTTTTAGAGTTAAAGCAAATTTTAATATTTTTAATGGATGACCCGATCAGCACACATTGAAATGTTTGCAACCCGGCAGCTGGGTTAATAGAATAATGAAATCAAGTGTTTGCTGATCAGCTAAGTTTGTCAAAAAATTAATAACCTCTAAAAACATTTCACCAATTCCTCATTAAGTGCTCTAAAACTGTCTACAAATTCTATACGGAATTGATTCTTTTTATCATCAGTCAATTGAACTTCTGACAAGACAAATACTTTTGCTGTATAATCAAGACCTTTTCCAGTTATAATCACTTTGGTTAGGCATTGAAGTTGAACTTCTGATTTATAAACTCCTTTATAAGTTTCCTTTACTGTCTCTTCTAAAGCTTCAGTTGCAATTTTAATTCGTTCTTCACATTCAAAATTAATTTCAATATTTTCAGGATTTAAATTGACTGCAAATTCATTTGTGCTGATGAGATTCTTGTCAACAACATATTTTCGGATGCAATAATTAATCTGCTTGCCTTCAATTGCTTGTTCATCCTCACCTTTCATGATATTGTCAAACATTTCAGTAAAAATTGGTTCAGTGACGCATTTTAAAATTGCAATTTGCATCTTTTTGTCGCCATCAGCCTTAGCTAATGCAGTAAGCTGTTTCCTTTGCTTCATCACTAAGTTTCTTGATACTTCATAAATCGATAGCTTCATCATGACTTCAGGATATCCAGAACCAATCAAATCTTCTCGAATGCATGATAAATTGTCTTGAATGAGCTTCTTTGAAGACTTACTGTCCTCAGTTTGTTCTCTTAAAGGTGCAAGATTTAAGTTGTCACGGAGAATCTTCTCTTTAAGCTCTGCTATCACAGCTCCACATTCTAATTGTTGAGAGTTCTCAGAGAATTTAAATTCATTATCAAGAAGCTTCTTATCTCTTAAGTTTTTTGCAATACACTCGAATTTCTCAGCTCTTGTTTCTGCTTGCTTTGCGAATGCAACTGATAGAATAGTTACTAAAATAATTAAGCTACAAATAAATGGAATTGGATTTTTTAAAAAAAAATTGCCGAAGATATTTAAATTAAAAATTAAAGATATTTGCATATCAAAAGAGGGAATAGTGTGGGTTAGGATTTTTCAATTTTCTATGTTCCTGTTTATTAAATTCACTGCTTTTTCAAAATAAATTTAATTTCTTACGATTTCATCTTCTGAAAATGATTTTTGTGTTGATTTGTCAAGAGTCAAATTAAGACTGAGATTAAAATTGAAAAAAGATCTTAAATTAAAAAATGAATCATAGCTTTATTTACAATTCTGAGAGTTAGCTTGAAGGTGATGATAATACTTTGACACAATTTGAGAGTTCAAAAAAGTATTAAAATGATACAAAACTGTTGTCGGTGTAAATTAATCGGATCAGGAAATATCAATTGTTCGTGATCAAATTATGAAATATGTACCAATGTTACAATCATTGTAGTCCATGGCTTCCCTCAGATGCCGCCTAAAACTGGCTCTATCGCTGGCTACTGCTTGCCAATTTCCTATACCAATTGCAATACTGTCTCTATCAACAGCCTCTTTCCATGAGTTCTTTGGTCTTTCACGTGCTCTTTTGTCCATCCGCAAAGTCAGACTTAAAGACCTTACTTAATGAAGCTTCCACTGGTTTCCTCCAAAAAATGTTGTATTATATAAGTCAATGGCTCTAAATGATCATAACTTATGACGTCCGATGAAAAACATAATTTTGACCCTCCTCGCCCTGTGTGTCACAAAATTTAAATATGAAAAAATTTCTTATGTTTGAGATGTCACAAAATCCTAGACCCATCCAAAGCTTCAACATCAGGGGCGTAGAGGAGAAGAGAGGATGGTTTTTTAAGGATTTTTTCAGCAGCAGAAATGAAAGAGTTTCTGTTTATAAGCGGCTGTCCGACGTCATAAGTGAACGACCTATTACATGATGCGTAATTTCACGTTAAATTTACTATTTGAATTATTATCAATAATGACATCTAAAATATGAATTTTAATTAAATACTTCCTGTCTCTTTTTTGTATATAAATTAAACTCACAGATATATTAATCGATCATTTAATTTTCAGCTATGAAGCTTTTTCTGCTGCTCACATTATTTGTGAGCCAAGTTTTTGCCGCATCAAAGCTCTATGAAATTACAAAAAGTGTAAATTGTGAGGAAAACATTCCAATACTTACACATTTTGTAGTCAACAATGGTACAACAGTTCCTAATAAAGTAGATTTTGGAGGATATTTTGAAGTGACTGAGAAAGTTCTTGGTCCATTTGAACTGTCAATTGATGCAAATCGATGTGATCATTCGTTGAAAAAGTGTGAGAAATATGTTGCTGGAAAGGTAAATTGTTGGTTTTAAGTGCTGTGCATTACTTGTTGAGAACACCACAAAATCAGGAGGCTTTTATATTAGCGAATCCTAGTCATTTTTGAATGAAGGAATCGAACCCATGCCATCATAAAAACAGGGTTTGAAATTTCTATCTGCTGTCCAGCCATTTGACCATTGAGACTTCATTTTGAAACAAGCAGAGTTGCCTAAATATGACTCGATATACTGCAACTCATTTTAATCCGACTCTAATCATAATTATACATAAATCTCATACAAAGTACCAAAATAAATATGTTATTTAATAATTTTATTTCCCTTAGAATTCAGGAATGTGTGAAATTTTCAACGGCAAAAGTGGTCTGTTCACGGATGTGCTTAAAACTTTTGAGCCACAAATAAAATGTCCTTGGATGCCTGGAAAATATGTGGCTAAAAATTCAGCATTTGATTTGTCATCAATTTCAGTTCTGCCGTCTGAGGGATACACATGGGTTGTGACAATTAAAGGTCTTGCTGGAGATGGAAAAAACAAAAAGCTTGTGATGTGCATGTATGTTGAGGCAAAGATATCAAAATTTAGAAAAAAAAATTCTGTAAAATAATACTTTTTTTAAAAAAAAAGTTTTTTTTTCATTTTTTTTTGGGATATTTTGGTAAGCTAAAAGATTTATAATTTTATTTGCAAGATTATAAATTAATAAACATAAAATACAGCATAATACAATAAAGTTGATGCAAATTAAACACGGCACACTTGAAGATAAAAATAATTGGTTGAGCTTTTCAGAGATATAAATGAGATTAATAATATCCGTTCACACTAACGTAATTAAAGTTTCCCATAATTCCAATATCCCAACCAGTGCCACATCTATTATCTCTTGTTATTCCATTTCGTTTGCATACAAATCCTGAATTAGAGATGGCCATAACAATTTTACTAACTGACACACATTTGAATCCCATATTCATTTCATCATCCTGATTTGGAGGATCATTGGGGATGTTTGGGATAATTTGCCAGTGAGTTCCTGTGATGACAAAAAAAAAAATGAGTATTCAACACATTTGTGGCATAATTGATTTTGCAAGAATTACCTTCATGACATGATGAACTAATTTGCATGCGCACAGCTAATCTTGACTGTGTATCTAATGCCCAAACGCCTTGAATTCCAGATGATACTTGCTTAAATTGCATATTTGAAGGAGCATCAATTCTCTTCCAAGCCGTTCCTGTTAAATTATCAAAAGTAATTCCTTGTCGGAAGAACATTCCACCACTTTTCGTAACAGCCCAAACTTTATTCTCATTATTACATGAGATACTGATTAGTGGAACATCACACTCAATATGCTCCCAAGAATTTCCGTTTGGAGTTGATTCCGAAATATTTCTTCTGAACAAAGCATCTCCTGTTGCTGATATTGCCCAAGCAACCGTCAAATTTTCATCCTTAAAATATTGCAATGTAACATCAATTATCCTTGACTGTCCAACTTCTTGCCAAGGCCCTTTTGTATTAAGTCTAGCTTTTCTATACCATCGACGACGTCTTACTAAATCCGAAAATTGCTTTTTGGCATGATAGGTCATAGGAAAATCTAATAGAATACATAGCAAGTTAATTTATCAAAGAGATTATTTATTAAATTTCAGCACTTACCAACTGCATATTGCCATCCATCTCGATCACATCCTCCGGGCACATGAAAATCTACTAGCCAATCTGTTATAAATTGCCAGTGCATTGATAAAAGTTTATTAAACTCTTTACTTCTTTTGTGCTTTCCTGTTACGTCACTCCACAAATGTCGGTCTGTTGGCAATGATGCAGTAGAAAATCCTGAAATAGGATTCCATCTCTGATTTTCATAGATGTAATAATGGTGAGTATCAGTCATGTTATTGATTCCAGCATTGCTTATTTCAAGACCCTTCAAGAAGCCACCCCAGCCTGGCAAAAAATAAGAACTCATAAATATCTTTTAAAACTTTTAAAAAAAACCCAGCTTACCTTTTGTGAAGCACCACAAATTATGGTCATAGCTAATACCCCAAGTAATTCCATTTGAGCATGTCTCAACCTTTCTTAAATGACCGCCCATTTGACGCCAAAATAGTTCGTTAAGTGACAAAATTATATCCGTTGTTTCATATTTTATATTAAAAAGCTTAACACGACCTGAACAATGCAAGCTTACTATCGTATCGGGTTTCTGACTTCGGTGTTTAAAGACAGTAAAATCTTTTCCATCAACAATAATTTTAAAGCCTAAAACTTCAGACCTTATAATCATTTCAAATTCCTTGCCTGGTGAAAAAACCATTTTTGAGTCTCGAATCTCATTTTCCCAATTTGATAATTCCATTGAATTGAGAACAATGCATTTCTCATGAAATCGTGGATTTATATGAAGCGGCATATTTCTAAAATATTCTGATTTATGACGTAATCTAACAGTTGCATTAGCTTGTAAATCGAAACGAATTTGATCAGCATCGTCATAAACACATCCAGTAATTTTTAAAATAGAACCAAATGGCATCCCATTCGGTAATTTTATTAAGTAAGGTGTTTCTGTAGCCGAAACATCAATTTCTTGGGTAAAAAGTTCACTTTCAATTATTTGCTGCGATTCACGTAAGTTTTGTGGATCAGAAACAAAAACTTCTCCGAGATTATTTGTTATCCAGAATGAATCTTTGGATGGGCATCCATCAACATTATTTAAGCGAGCAGTTACTGATGAAAGATGAGAAAGCCAATCTTCAAGTTCTGTATCGCCAGCAAATTGCAATTTTAATGGAGATATTGTTATAGGTAAACGGGGACAATAAATGGCTAATCGTGGATGGCCTGGCTCACTACATGACATTACACATGTTATTTCATTCAATAGAAATTGCATTTTAGTAGATATACCGTCTGAATTGAGGACAGTTAATGTTCCACAATCCATATCAGCTTTGGAAGAGACCCATTCTAATTCAATAAGACAGTCTTCATACGTTCCATTATATCGAACCATTCTTACTTCGCCACTTTTAACCCATGAAGATGCTTCAATTGCTTTTTCATATTCCTCATAGCCGGATTTTTCTTTGCTGTTTCTTTCTTGCAGATTTTTTAAAATTTGAACCCTCCAAGGTTTTAGAAGCTCTGTTTGTGCATCATCGGAAGTATCACTAAACCAATTTGGTAGTTGATTAGGATTAACACTTACAGCACCAGCAGCTACATTGTTCCAAACGACATCGCATTCTGTCCAATACTGAGAACCGACAAAATCATCTTCACCAAAAACACCGGAATCACGATTTGATCCTTCCGCTTCAAAAACAGCAGAATCTGATTCTGGATGCGCTTCAATTGCTACAACAGAGCCAACTGAACGAATTGGACTCCATGCACGAGAATTTTTCAACTGTTTTCCCGAAACTTCATAAACTTCATTGTTTACAGGACAACTACTTGCTACATGCTCCAAGTCTTCTTTTATTGTTCGATCTTGACTTGGTTTTTCCCACATTTCGACTTTTTGACGATTACAAGTCGGTGCACTTCTCGATTGCTCCTCATCATCCTCTTGAATCGATATTTGACTCTCTTGCTGCTGATATTTCAAGCTATTTAAGCTTCGATGTCGACTAGGTGATCCACTTGAACTTCTACGACTTAATGACATATTACTAGAATTTCTACTCATTTGCATTTGGCATTGAATTTGCTTCCATTTCTTTCCCGTTAGATCAGCATGTGTAACACCACTCCTAAAGTAAATATTTCTGTCCTCACTTCCGACAGCAAACACTTGATCATTTGCAGCAACAGATATTGAAGACATGTTTCCAACCATTTCAATCCATCCAGTTCCAATAGCGGCATCTTCACTAATGCCTGACAATGCACCATTAACACCTTTTCTAAACCAAACATGATTATCGTTCGTAATCGCCCAAACTGCGTCAGTTCCAACTGAAATTTGAATTATTTTCAAATCATTCTTTGGTGGTGGAACTTCTAGCCATGTCTTTCCTTGAACATTATCTCTAGAAACACCTGATCGAACAAGTGCTCTTCCATTGTGACAACAAGCCCAAACCATTCCAGATGCTCCAACACTAATTTGTGAGACTTCACATTCTGTAGAAATTGGAATCCACTTGCGACCTTCTGGTGATGTAGTCGAAACACCACTTCTGTACATTACACGACCGTGACTGGTTACTGCCCAAACAAGCATTACGCCATTCTCCAAACTTGTTCCACCAATCGCACAGTCTAGAATACGAATTTAATTATTAAAACAAAACAAATTTGTTTATTCGATAATTATTTACCTATGAATGGCTCTTCAGTTGGATCTTTATGAAGTGGGCCGATTGCACACCATGAATTTAATGCACAATACTTTCTAAAACGAATCCATTTACGACGTCTAACACACGTAAATGTGGACATTTTTGGATGATATTGTCTTGGAAAATCTACTGCATATGTCCATCCATCATGATTTAATGGCTGCCCTTCAAGCGTTAAATCTAATTGCCAATCACCATCCCACTGCCATGCTAGTGATGGGACTCTAATCTTTTGTATATCCCTATCAAATAGTCCATCGTCAGTACTAAATCGCGGACGATCAGTCGGTAATAAGCTTTGACTCCATCCACTCCCAGGATACCAGCGTTCATTTTCATAACTTATCTCACAAACTCTTATCTGTACATCCAAAGAATGAACATGCAAATAAACCTGTCGATCACCTCCTATTGCCCATATAAAATGAGGAACAGCTGACAACTTTTTAAATTCTAATCCTAAATATAAAAACTCTCTCCAAGCTGAATTTCCAGTCGATAGTGCGTATGCTCGTCCTTCATTATTAGTTCCGAATAATAATGTTGGTGCCATATTTAAACCAAATTTTGGCAACTTATAGTCATCACTAAAAAGATAATTTTACCAAAAGATTAAATTAGAATCGATAAATTAAGAACCTTTTTGAATGATGTTTGCCCATAATAAAGATACAGAACAGACTGACTAAACGAACATAAAATTAAAACTGTACGCAATTTAATTAATAATTTAATCTGTAGACAAGCACTGAGCAAGGTTTTCGATTGACATTCAAGGTAGTTTCCTTAACAGTTCAATAAGTATCAACAATTGGATATATGCAGTATGTACTTACAATCACTCAAATGATGAAAGTAATTTTTATTGATTTTTTCTGAATTTCTCATAAATTGAAAAATGTCTTCATTATACCCTCTATTGTCTTTTTTTGTTCATAACGTGATCACTTTAATAAAACTGGGACATTTCAATTATTTTTTACAGTGGAATGGTGGTAAAAGAAGCGTCAAAACGTGAATGAATTAATAAAAAAGGTCTAATCAGCTGTGCTGAAAATATTTTTCTTCGAAATCATTGAATGTTTATATACAAAATTTAAATATTTTCCGTTAGAAAATATTGGCCTTATGAACACGTGACAGTGATTTCTCAGATTTTCTTCAAAACTTCTTAGTCCGTCTTTTGGAAAATGACTTTCAGAACTGATCTTGCTAAACCTCAAATTTTTTTACTAGATTTTCTTACTGATTTCTCATCTTTTATTTGATGATTGCGACTTTGAAGTAACAAGTCTGTTTCGATTTGGATCTTCATTTTGAGAGCATGGTTGTTGCTGCTTTTGTGTTAATTTAAGTTGTAATTAATGATGATTGATAGCTAATCTATTCCATAATTTATGCTTAAAAACATTTTATCCTTGCGATAGGAAATTAAGCATTAAGCGTTTGAATTATTTTTGTGATTATTTAACGAACAAAGTATTTTCGAAAAGCAGTGATGTCACGGTTTTATGTGAATGTATTGGTGAAAATAAAATCAGAATTTAAAAATAAAACCTTTATTTAAATCGTTAAGTTAGAATCTAAAGTGAGACATTAAAATCGAGGAGAGTCAAAATACTAAATGAAAGTTGAGAAAGATTCAAAACAAAAGTGCCACTGTTTAGAAATTGGATAGAAGGAAAATTTTCGAAGACAGAAGAAACATCCAAACATTAAAATCACTAAAAAATTTATTATTCACTGACAGCTATAAAGCAATTAAGTGATGGATTCAAGGAGAAAATCAAGGGTGTGGTACTGATGAAATGATCAAAAATGATCAAAAATTAAAAAAATTATCAAAAATGATCAAAAATGATCAAAAATGATCAAAAATGATTAAAAATGGTTAGAAATGATCAAAATGTAATTCTTTAGTTCCACTCCCTTGGAAAATACGACACAACTCTATTAATGAGCAATCCAATTTGGATTGTCAAAACAAGATTGTGTCTTCAGAATGAGAATAATGTAGACTTAACAAGCACAAAAAATTATCGCGGGCTGACTGATAGATTACTTAAAATCTATCAAACTACGGGACTAAGAGTGCTTTATAGCGTAAGTGGATAATCTCAAAAATATTTTATAAAAAAACTAGGTTTTGAAAACTAGGTTTTTCGCGTGGACTTAAAAGTAAAAAATAACTTTTCTTCTTCGTTGCAAAGAATTTGGTTTTAGAAAAGAAAAACTTTATAAATTGCGATTTTTCATTTTTAGCAATTATTTTTTAGAGATGTAAATCGCTGTCCTGTACTCAAATATATCAATTAAGATCCAACCTGAATTAATTTGAATTTAATGTTTTAATTTGACCAACTTTAGCCTCAATTAATTGTCATATTAACTATCAAGCACTTCCTGTCCAATTTTGTATAAATTAAAAGCTAACATCGACTTAAGCTTCAGTTTCAGCTATGAAATTTTACCTCTTTGTGTCTCTGCTGATTGTTGAAACTTTTGCAGCTTCTCGACTCTATGAGATGCAAAAATTCGACAACTGCCAAGTAAGTCATGCAATACAAATGCGTCTTTTTGTTAATAACGGTTCAGCAGTTCCTGATAAAATTGCTTTTGGTGGATATTTGGAAGTCACAGAGAAGATTCTTGGCCCAATTGAGTTCACACTAGATTCAAATCGATGTGACTTTGCGATGAAAAAATGTGAGAAGTTTTCAATAATGAAGGTAAGTTCTTTAAAAATCTTCTGAATCCATAGCTGAATGAAAAATCAATTCCTCAGATTCCAGGTGTTTGTGACATAATAAACAGCAAGAATGGAATTATTGAAGATTTATTGAAAACTTTTGAACCACGAATACAATGTCCAATTATGCCAGGAAATTATACAGCAAAAGATTCAGTTCTTGATCTAACAGTAGTTTCAGGATTTCCAACAAATGGATTCGTTTGGGTTGAGACCATTAAGGGAGTTTCTGGAGATGGAAAAAATCGAAAGCTTGTCTTTTGTGCAAATGTTGAAGCTAAAATCACAAGCGTTAGAGATAAGAAGAGAAAGAATTGAGCTAAAACTGACGTTGTACATGTTTGCGACAGATTTTATAGCTGTAAATTGAAAGTTTTGAAATAAATCCCTGAATAAATCTCTAAAGAGTCTTTAAACTGATATTTGGATAGTTTTTGTACACATTCAAGCTGAAAACAATGATAATATAAAAGGTAATTTTTGGGACATCTGCTGTTTATATCAGCTCATTAATAGCTAAAATACTATTGATCAATTCAGTCACTGAAATTGAAATTTCAAAATTACGAGAAAGAAAAAAAGAAAAATTAATTACCGGTTTTTAAAAATTTGAATATTTTATAGCAATATCAACTGCTATAAGTATTCAAAAAAAATCCCTAACGGTCGAAAAATTATTCAAAAATATTTTATTGCTGTAACAATCTGCTGTAAAGTCATCATATAAAAAATATATATCACGATATTTTATATCAATAGTGTTTTATGGTTCCAAGCGTGTTCGTTTAAAGCATCGATTTTCCAATGATTCTGCATTTTCCTTAATTGTTTTCACTTCGTGTTCAAGAAAAGCAATATGAACTTTGTAATTTTCAATTGTTTCTTCCTGCTGCTGACGTTGCGCTTTCATATCTTCATACTTTTGTGCTAATTTTGATTCATTTAGGTCGCCTTCGATTTCGGTGATTTTTGTTTCTAGAAAATAAGATTGATTGAGGTTAGAACCGCTCGTTTAAATATGAGGAACTAGCATAGTGGCTTGTCATTCATAACAAAAGTAAAAAAAAAATTTTTTGACATCAGCTTGAAATTTTGAAAATGGAACATACCAAACTCTTCAAGCTGTTTCAAATCCACATCCTTAATCCCGTCAATTTGCTTCATCATTTTCTCCAAATCATCAATTGTAGTATCAACTTTTCCGTCAACTTCCTCTCTTTTTGTCTTTGTTCTGTCAACTTTTTCCTTAGCTTTTTGCACAAAATCTTCCGTTTCATTTTCAGCTTTTTTCAGTCCGTCATGATCTTTTGAGTTTTTTTCGTGAATTTTTTGCACGTTGGTCATTGCATCGAAAGCTTCATCGAGTTCATCAGCTAGAGCTTCGGTGTTGGTTTTCATATTGCTGCTTTGTTCCAAAACTTTATCCATTTCCTCTTTAATTACTGTATTTTTATCCTTTGCATCCTGTGCCACTTTCATGTTTTCCTCGACTTCATTTTCGAGAGTTTTTACAATTTCCTTGCTGTCGGAAATTTTCTTTAGAATTTCTGGAATTTTCTCAAGAGCTGCTCGAGCATTTTCACGCGATTCCTCAACTTTTGTGTTGAAATCTTCTAAAGTTCCAAAAATATTTCTTGCATTGTTGATGATTCCATCTTTATCTTCAATAGCCTTTTTCGACATTTTTTCTATGTCTTTAACTTCTTTGAGCAGTTCCTTAATTTTATCTTGTTGAGTCTCTGACTTCTTCTCTAATTTCTCAGCCTTCTCAATTGTCGTTTCCATTTCTTCCAGAAATTGTGAATTATCGTCAGAAAATTTCTTCAAGTCAGCTTCTGCAGTAATTGGGTAGTCATTGAGTTCCTTAATGCGACTCTTAATATCATCAAACTTCCCATAAAGTTCCAATAAACTAACTTCATTCAAAAGTTCCAAAGAATCATCAAATACACTCTTTGCCTTCTCCATAGCTTCACTTGTCAACTTTTTCACATTTTCCAGCTCATGAACTGGCAATGGTGAGTCAGTTGCTTCTTTCAATGTGTCTTGAATCCATTTTAGTATTTCTGAATTTGAATCAATTTGATTTGATATTTCACTGAACTTGTCTAATGTCTGTGATATTAAGTCTTTTGCATTCATTAAATTTTTCTCATAATCTGCAAGCATTCTTTTCATCTTCTCAACGATTTCTTTTAGTTCTTTTGTGTCTGTATGGAATTTTTCAGATTTATCGAAAGCATCTTGCAGTGCATTTGGTAAGTCTGTGTCTGTCTGATTTTTAACTTTTTCAAATTCTTCTTGAACTTTTCTAATTGCTTCCTTTATGTCTGTGAACTTTACATCTGCAATTTTAACTAGCTTATTTCCATCATCCAGTGATAGTTCGATTTGATTTGTGTTGGCATCAATTTGATCGACAGACTTAAAGACAATATTGATTAACTCAAATAAGGAATGTTCTCCTCCATCGATTCCAGTTATCATTTCAATTATCAATTTGTCCAATCTGCTTTCAAGTTCAAGGATTCTATTTTGAAAATTTCCATCACTTCCATGTGTTACTTCACTCAATTCCTTCTCAGCTTCTGCTAAAATCTGAGATAATTAATTAAATTTAATTGCATTTTTTTTGTTTTTTGAATGGGTTTTTCCCTCACTTTATCAGTTTCATTAATCTTGTCCTCGAGAAGTTTCACAAAAGTTTTAATAACTTCATAGCATCCTTCATCTTCACATTTTGGAACATCTCCATAACTTTGTGTTGTTATAAATGAAATTATTAAAATTAATTGTCCAATTTTTAAATTCATAATTTATTATTTTTCACTAGATTTTTTTTTGTAAATAGAAAAGAATTTATCGACACTATAAAAATACTTTTTTTGTTATCAAACTTGATAAGGAATTAGTCAATGCGATTTCTGTCATAACTGTCAATTGACTTAAATGTTCAAATACTATAGAACTGTTATTTTCAATACTTTTCGATTGTCCAAAGGTGAATTTTATTCAAATTTTCAAATGACGTATTTATTTTAATTACTTTAATAATTTTCCAAATTTTATAATTTTTATTTTAAGTCAAATATTAAAAAAAAAATTTATTATACAGCTTGTTTTTATTTGCTTTGGACCCGGTAGAACTGGAATTAATGACTGTGATATTCACAAAATTTGATAATTTTGCAACAAAATATAAAAATCGTTTTGCATCTTAAAGGGTATCTCGTGTGTCTTTTTGAAGATTTGCATTTTATTGGAATAAGTTTTAAAACTCAATTTAAAAGACTGGTTTAAATTTTTTTAATGATTTTATTGGTTCTGCAGTTTACTGTCTTTGTATTGACTTTGATTATTCTATTAACAATTAATATGCCATTCATAAATAATGTCTATTAACAGAAAAGATCAGAAATGTATGACGTATTGAAACATCTAGAACAGTATTATGCAGACTTTTTGAGCCACAGCACACTTATGGGTAGTCATGACTCAAATCGAACACAGCATGCGTCTAGTTTCAAACACTAGTCTACCGCGGCACACAGTTTGGACCACAGTTTGGACAACACTAATATTAAAGGACGAACCAAACTTCTAGATGACAAAACCATAGAAAAACGAATAATTCTGAATGAAGAATCTCAAGCGGGACTCGAACCCACGTCTTACAGTTTCCGGTCGCATGCTCCTACCACTGAGCTATCGGGGGTTATACGACTATATGACTAAATCCCATTTATAAGTCACACTCTTTCTACTTTATCCTTGCAATAACATATTTTATCATTGACTAGCTATTACTTGGAATCGCTTTTTCCAACATGATGTAATCAAAAAAAAAAATAATAATTTCAAATAAACTTAATCCATAATTTTCAAAAAAAAATATAAATCCAATAAATCTGCTCCCAGAGAGATTTGAACTCTCGACCGCTAGTTTACAAGACTAGCGCTCTGCCCCTGAGCTATAGGAGCGCATTATTTCACTTTTTCGTACCCCGGAATATAGGCAAAGAGTTGTTTCACGGTTTTAAAAGCAAAGAAGATTATCAAATTGAGTCATACGCGTTGAAAAATCTCAACGAATATAAAATCAAAAGAAAAAAAAAAATGAATATTCACATATTTCTTATTTTGGTAGAGTTTGATTGCTGAATGAATGAAGAAAGAAGACAAAAAAAAAGCGGATGAATTGTTCAAGAAATTGGAATTTGATTAAGAATGTCATCAGCAAATGTCACAGAAAAATTCATTTTAATTCCATTTCGGAAAGTTTTATTTTGTATCGTAAAAAAAATCTTTCCCTCCTTATATGCTCTTGATTTCCATTCGGGAGGAAAATGGCAGATTGTAGAAAAATTGCTGTCGACAATTTCCTGAATCCAAACGACCTTTTTCCAATTCCTTTTTTCTCTTAATATAAAAATCTATTATTTTTTTTATAAATTTCTTTTTATCTTCATTGTCAATGGATTTTATTTTCAACTCCAATTTTTTTCATGAGATTTTAAAGAAATATTTGAGAAATTAATGATTTGATGGAGGACATTGATGGTAAGTTTTAGAATTTTAAAGCGCTTTTATAATTAAGATTGATTCAAAATGTAATTCTCCAAAAGTTTAAATGGTTTACATCTATTGGATCAAGGCGTTTCCATTCGTGATTAAAGCCCAGCAATTCCTGTCATAAAACTTGAAATCCCACTTAAAATCACTACTTCAGTTGATAAATTATTGAAGGATTTTAAGTGGGATTAGTTTTGGGATTAATTTCGAGTACATACGCCTTAGATTGGATCTCTCTTCGTCCGAGTTGATTTCTGGCAACTTGGAGTGTAATAAGGAAGCATTAAGTATGGGAAAAACCTTTTAGAATTATTGAATAGTGCCTCATAATCAAGTTTGAAGAGACGCCACATTTTTACACGATTAGCACAAATCAGATAAAAGAATTCTGGAACCGATCCGGGGCAATTCTGGCAAGGTGCTGGACTCCAATCGAATCTTTCGAGAGTCAATCGGGCTCAATTAAGTCCAAAGAAGTTGAAGATACTAAAACAAGAGGTTCAAGTTGCTTAAGAATTCTTTTAAGATTAAGATTGCATTTAAAAATGATTCAAACATTTAAACTTAAAGTTTTTTGACTAGAACACTGCCTTGAAGGTGAAGAATGAATATCTGAGAATGTTCTTTACAGACAGTCACTGTTAAAAAGTGCAATCTATTGAAACAAACTTATAATTTTCTTAATTTCTTTCTCGAATCGTGTTCAAAAATCATTCAAAAATGAGATTTGTCGAGATGGAAACGAATTGTTCAATAATTCCATCCCCTTTCCCTCAATTGATCCCGAGGACAAAGCAATTGCTAGAAAATATCTGGAAATAAAAATCCATTACGAAAGCAATTCAACATTTTAAGGAGAAGAAAATAAATTTTCTATAAAAATGAGCAAAAAAAAAATTTAAACAAACTTTATGATTAATTGAAATGAGTTTTTATATAGCTTCATCACATTAAGACTGTGTGCGTGCAGCGCTTGGAAGTATAATATTAATTATATTTTATTTTATTTCTATTCTGCGTCTTGTTTCATAAAACTCAATAAAATTAAGACGATTAATCGGTAATAAAATGTCGTCTACTGCTGTGATTATAATAGGACGGCAAAAAATTCATGCCTGAAAAAGAAGCAGGGAGAAGAATCATCTGTTTTTGATGAGCGACAAAAATTGATTTCACCATGTGCACCCTCGTAAATGTTTAGCGCGAAACTTTTTTCCCCTTTCCTTCCTTGTGAGTGTGAAAAATTTTTATTTTTATATTTTTTTTATTTTGCACAAAAGTGGAAGTGGTAACAAATGGACATTCGTCTCTCGTTCCTTCAAGCCGTTTATAGACATGCTGTTGTAGTCTGCAAAGCATGATTTAAACAAGATTTTGATTTTTTTTTTCATTCAAAAAAAAATGGACCGGAATAAAAAAAAATAATAATATTCTCTCGTCAACAATGAATTCATTGAATTGTGAAGCGAGTCTACATCCATTTGCATATATTTCACCATTTCTGGCCTTTTGATTTTTCATACATACATAAAAATTTATATTTCAAAAGGTTTATTTTTTTCTGTACGTTCTTGGCACGAATGCGTGAAGGGTTTCATTATATTTACGTCCTTTATTTACTTTTGTTGTTCTGAAGAAGTATATGTATGCAAATATTTTTATTTTGGAGACTGACGGCTAACATTTGTCGATGTGTTGCTGATGTATTTTTGTGTATTTCTGTACCTGGTGTGTGCGTGTAAAAAAATGTGTACAGAATCAGCTTCTTTAAGGGGCCGTTCACTTATGACGTCCAGGACAGGTAAGGGGTCAGCAAGAAAAAAACAATAGAAATTCCTGCGAATTAATTGTTCTTTTTTGAAAAGAGAGCGTTAATTTCGGACATCATAAATAACGAACCCTAATCATGATAACAATATGAGTTTGATAAAACTTTAGTCTAGAAAATTTGAAATTCTCGTATTCCGCCTCCTGGATAGCTATAATGAACAAACTGACACTTTTGATGGTTAGGTTTAACATTAGTCATCGCCAGTGATGGTCAACCAATGTGCCGTGGCACTCAAATTTGCTGAAAAATATTCGAAAATACCCAAGAATCATGTGTCGTGTACAGTTTCGATAATGGCTTATCACCATGGTGTGCCTTGGCATAAAAAAGGTTGTCCACCACTGGTCTTGGCATGAGATCGAGCAACCCATTGAATCAAAAAATCCAATTTGTTACTTTTTATCCATTTTACCAAAACTTTAATAACCTAATCGATTAACTTTAATGAAAAGCTACTAAAGTAATAAAATTTCATTTAAAAACTGTCCATGCAACTTAATCTACAGAACTAAAAGTCAACTAATAAAAAAAAACTTTATTTTCCATTATAAAATTCAATTTTTCTTCTCCTGATGTGCTCCGAGCACAGCCATAGAAGAAAAATACATTACATTCACTCTAATAAAAATTTTCATCAAAATATAATCGAGAAATTTTTCTCAATTTATTTTCATTTCTGTTCAGCATTCGAAAAGCACATATAAGGAACATTAAACCATATTTTCATGAGGGTTCTCTCTCACTCGTTTTCGAAAAATCCTGTAATATGGAGTTTTGATTTAACGATTATGTCAAAAACAGAAAGTTTATAAAAATGTGAATTTATGTTGATTTTCTGTTCAATCATGTTTGTTGCTGCCTTTTTTTCCAGCTCCTTTCTTATTTTTGTTCAATAAATTGTTTTGTTTGTTATTTCGTCTTGGTTCATATCAATATGTGAAGTTTTTATTCTTTAAATTGGATTTTTTGATGTGAGAAATTTTGTTTTCTTTTGTAATTTAAAATGAAATTCTGTTGGAAAACTTTGACATTTTGAGGTTATTTGAGATGAATATTGGAATGGTTAATCAGAAGCTATGTTGTCAGGACTCTAATATAATTTTGACAACAATATTTCCCTAGCAGAAATTTACTAGTAATTTCCTAGTAATTCACTAGATAACTTTCCATTTGCTACTTGCTATTTACTAGTCAAAATCCAAGTTCAAATCATCGCCAAAGACCCGCATTTTCACTTGCTATTTGACTAGTCAATTCGCTTGCAATTTAACTAGTAATTTACTAGCAAATTTGGAAAAAAATTAAATGAATATAACCGTTGATTTCCACGTGTTCTTTTGATTTTTTTTATTTGTGTAAATTATTGTAAAAGTATTAGTGTGTACTTAGTTGAAGTTAATTAAAGTACACTAACACTATGATAAAAAGCAAAAGACTTAATTTAATTAAGTCGAACACTGATGAACGCCCATGACTCGCACGCAAACCTGAGGAAGATAAATAATTAATTGAATGTCACATACCAATTTGGATCGACCTTATAAAGGTGATTTCTGCGCGCTCTTGTGAAGTATATGGCAAATGCCAAATTTAGAACAAAATTCTTTATGACGCAAAAAATTCTTTTTTTGATGATTTTTCGTAGGATTCGAACTTAAGAAGATTTAATCAAACATCAATCTTATAATGGTGATTTCTGCGCGCTCTTGTGAAGTATATGGCAAATGCCAAATTTAGAACAAAATTTTTTATGACGCAAAAAAATTTTTTTTGATGATTTTTTGTAAGATTCGAACTTAAGCAGACTTGATCAAACATCAATCTTATAATGGTGATTTCTACGCGCTCTTGTGAAGTATATGGCAAATGCCAAATTTAGAACAAAATTTTTTATGACGCAAAAAAAGTTTTTTTGATGATTTTTCGTAAGATTCGAACTTAAGCAGACTTGATCAAACATCAATCTTATAATGGTGATTTCTGCGCGCTCTTGTGAAGTATATGGCAAAAGCCAAATTTAGAACAAAATTTTTTATGACGCAAAAAAAGTTTTTTTGATGATTTTTCGTAAGATTCGAACTTAAGCAGACTTGATCAAACATCAATCTTATAATGGTGATTTCTGCGCGCTCTTGTGAAGTATATGGCAAATGCCAAATTTAGAACAAAATTTTTTATGACGCAAAAAATACTTGTTTTGATGATTTTTCGTAAGATTCAAACTTAAGCAGATTTGATCAAACATTTCACATGGTAATTTGTTAGTAATTTGCTACTAAATAGCAAGTGTAATTTTCTAACAGTAAGTTGTTTTAATAATTACTAGTAAATTGCAAGTAGTAAAATAGAAAGACTAGCAATTTGCTAGTTAGTCTCGCTAGGGTTTTTATGCTATTGAGGGATTTCTGATTAAAAGTTATAAATGTTAAGGTTCAATTCTCAAAGATTGTCGACTAGTTCGAATAGCACAAGTCGGTTAATCAAATTGAATTCCGGCAACAAGCTAGCGTGACTCTGGCATTGAGCTGAATTCGATTTGAGTCGAGCACCATGCCAGAGTCACGTCTATTCTGGTAGATTTGACCTTTATTGACAATTTCCAAACCACTTTCATCCAGTTTTCACTGTCAATAATCAGTTCAAACTAATTCAACACAACAGTCCATCCATCAAATATTGAATGGCTTACTTTTCAACTTAATCTCTGGAATCCGTATCAAGTGACGTTAAACCTAAAAATTTCTTAAGTGATTTTAAATTATTAATCAAATAATTCAAGTTGAATTGAAAAAATCTCGAAAGCCATCCATTTAAGCTTATCATTAATTGCAAAATTAAGTTTTATCTGCTGATAAGTTGATTGCCCTAATATTGTTCTATAGAGTCACGTGAATTTTGTTTAATTCAAGGTTGAAATTTCCCTTGTTTGTGATTGTTTGTGATAATTAGCGAAGTTATAAAGAGTCCATAGAATCTTATCTCTTTCTGATTTTTCGAAGCTTTTAAGTTCGATAGTTTTTACATCGCTCGAAGTTGATGAATTCGAGTCGATTTGCAGTTAACTCGAAAAAAATTGGCTCGACTCTAGTCGATTCGAAAAAACCCTCGACTTTGAGCTCTGGTTTCAAAGGCTCTCCATAGTAGATAAGCCTCACCATAGGGCCAGTGAAACTGGTTGTATGTGTATAACGGATAGCCGAAATGAGATGACCGAGTGGCAGGGATCTCTGATCGAGTGGTCATAGATAGCGTCTTTTTGGATCGTGGGTTCAATTCTTATCAAACCCGACTTGTTTTACATTTGGACAAACATACGACAATTATAGGGAGATCTACAGTTATCAGCTTTTCTTTCAAATTCGTTTCTTATTTGGCTGTCAAGAAAATTCTTTTGCTCAAAATGCTACAAAATCATCGAACCCCTCCGGAAATATCTAGTTGGATTTGGGTGCTTTTTTCGCTGTTCTAGTCATGGCAACTCGGTTTGTATGATTTGAGACGTGCAAACTGTAGCTAGGTACTTTGCATTGATATACCCTGGGTCAATGCAATTGTGCAGAGTTGCAGATACGCAATCGTCCGTTGAGGACAAAATCTATCTGTAAAAACAAAACCAATTGTCCGTTGAGGACAAATATAATCAAATAATTTTGGATGTCAACGCATCGATCATCATCAATGAATTATTTCAAATCTGCAATTAAGTTTTAATAGCCGCTGGCGCTAGCCCTCTTAAAAAAATTGTAAATCAATGAAATGCAGAAATAAAATGTAACGTTTGTTAAAAAAAACATCGAACCCCTCCCTCCTATAAGGTGAACATAACAACTGAACGACCTTCTATTGCATTATCAGTAACACGAGACATATATTGCGTACGACTTGATAATTAAAATGATTATCCAACTCTTATCAAGTTATTTAGTTTGATGCAATAAATCTAGACTAATCGACTGTATTGCTTCTCATAAAATGACTCAATACAATTTTAATCAATTGATATGAACAGTTGACAGGAAGTAGCTTTCTGGAATTTTCCCACAATGATTTGAGACGTATTAGGCGAGAATTCACCTTTGGAATGTTGAGTGAAACTGCAGAACTAGTAAAGAAGCTATCAGCATGTCCTTAACCTTAATTAATTGTCGCAGAATTACCTTTAAGTTTCCTTATTTTACTCAATTAACTTCTACACACATAAAAACCTCTCATTTTTAAAATTTTGTTATCAATTGCCATTGATTTATCGATTATAGAAACATCCACTTAATAGTATTTGATTGAGAGAATTTGGCTTCAGTTGCGAGAAAGGTGTCGTTGAAGTAAAGTCGTTAAAAGCTTCTATAAAGTAATAATTATTTCTTATCAATTTCAATTTAGAGATTATGTGATTAAGAATTGTCGAAACGTGACCAATTTGGTGAACATTTGATAAGCAATTGAGGCATATTGTTTATCAAACGTGCTGAAAACAAGGTTCTGTGCTTGAGATCTTAAAAAATAAATATTTTAATGATGACTCATTAGTGATCACGCGAAAAGCAGTCATTATTTATTAACTAGTCGTAATTTGATGATAAGAGCATTTAATCTAATAACGATAAAGTTCCAATAACAATTTTAATAATGAAAGTATTGAGCATGTGAAATAATCTCGAAAATCGACCAAAATTGGAATTAAGTGTCATAAATCTTTCAATGTAATAAGTGATTCTGAGGAAGCTACTTAAAATCTTATCATTGGTGCTACTGTATGGCCATAAAGAATTCTACGTATTTTTAATTAATTGACATATCAATCACCAATGGAAAATAGTTCAAGTTTGATAGAAATTTATGACGTTTTGACTTTTAGCGGAATTTTCTTACACCAGTTGTGGAAATTGTTGTCAGTTTGGAAAGAATAAAGTTTTGTGAAATTTAAAAATCCTTAAAATTTTAAGATTTTTTTAACTTAAAAATTCAAAAAACATTTCTTGAAAAGAAAATACGGTAAAATATTTAATGAACTCTGAAAATTGAGATGCAAAATAATTAAAGTGTCTTAAAATTAAACAAAAAATTGAAATCAAACAACAAAAAATTTTGTAGTGATTAATTTGAAGAAAATTGGACACGATTGTCAATTAAACGTGTGAAAAATGAATAAAATAAAATATTTTGCAACTTAATTAACTTAAATAAGTTAAACAAAGTGTTATTAATTATTATTGGTGTAAAATATTGAAATAAATTGTGAAAAAATTAAAGAAATTAAAGAAATTTTGAAAGTAAAAAATTCAAAAGTGTCAATATTTAAAAAATAATATAATTTAAACTGCAAGACTTCAAATATAGGAATTTGAACTAATTCAACAAAGTTAAATTAATCTAGTAAAACAAACCTAGTAACTGAAACCTAGTTAAGCAAATCTATTAACTGAAAGCTGGTAAAGCAAACCTAGTAAAGCAAAACTAGAAAAGCAAACCTAGTAAAGCGAACCTAGTAAAACAAACCTACTCCAGTCAACCAATTTCACCAGAACATTCAAATTCAACATTTTCAATAAAAAAAACCAAAAAAATCAAAAAAAGTGCGCCAAAACAATCCAAAAATCAAAAAAAAAATCACAATTTAAAATAATTTCAATATTTATCATCCTGACACTGATCAATCATACGTCTCGATAAGTTGTCGATTTAAAAAACAATTACGATTTGAATTCAGCAACTCAGTCGTAAATTACTTAGCGTGAACTTGTTCAAGTAGTGTCGATAGCAGCCTACATACATATACTGAGATTAGTAAAGCACTTTAAATCATTGTCTGCTGTCAGTGTTATCAAAAAAATTATCGCTTTAAAAAAAACTTTTTATTTACCAATCATATTGCACTTAGTGTCAATATTTTGGCAGTATGCTATGTGTGCCTTGTTTTTAATTGTTTGAAGAGAATGATAAGTGAGAGAGGGAAAAATGAAAAATAAATTGTTTAACTTTTTCAAAAGTAATCAGAATGCTCGAACTTATACAGAGAGTGATTTGAGCTCAGAAAAATATTTGTCAACTAAAAAGTGGGAATGGAGCTACTTACGGGTGCGTTATTGATTAATTTATTATTTGAGAGATTTTGAAATCGAATGAAAAATAATAAATATTTCAGAAAGAATGTCAAAATTTAGGACTAGACATTTTCTACAGAACGTACATCCATCGAATGCAGAGAAGCTATTTGACGCTAATGTTTTCCATTCAAATATTCGTCGCTATTACACACATCGTGATTTTATTAGTTGATGATGATTCTGTGAGTTTAAAGTTGTGAAATTTATTTTATTAAGTGAAATTCTTTTGTCTAAATCAGTGTTGTTCAAACAGTGTGCCGCAATTCAGTAGTGTGCCGTCGAATTTTTTAAAAACACCGTAGTTTTGATCGACGTTCACCATCAAGGTGTGTCGTTGCTCAAAAATGTTTGGACAGCCCTGGTCTAAATCAGTGGGGTCCAACCTTTTTTTGTGACAGGACACACCTTGGTTGTAAGCTATGACCGAAACGGAACACGATGTAAATAATAGTGTGTCGCGGCACATGGGTTGGCCAGCACTGGTTCAAATGTTTAAAGTCAGGCATAAAACTGGTGAATATTTTTCATATTGGAGAACCAAAATATTTAAGGGTTTTACGTCCAAAACAGATATGAAGATGTTTAAAAGCAAGATGTTCTCAACTTTTCTGACTAAACCGCCTTACTAAATTCACTAAATTCATTAAATGACTTTATTTCTCTTCCATTTGCAGTTTAAATCTTCTGTGATTCCAGATGTGCTGATATATGCATTCAGTCTTCCACTCTTCATAATTTTATTGCTACCAACATTTGATAATGACATTTCAAATAAGTGGAAACCATTTGTGTGTTCATTCCTTGCTATAATGTCACAAACAATGTCAGGTACAACTTTCTAAAAAAATTATTTCAATACTTTTTTTTGTTTTACTTGCTTGAATTAACATTATTATTTTTACTTATTAGATCTTTCGATTCCAATTTACCATGCAATACAAGATACTCATGATTTTATAAAGCCACTAAGGCCAATGTACGCAAGTCACAATCTCCTAATAATTTATATATTTCTACCAATAACTGATAATGTGATTGTATGCATTATGGGTCTTATGACAACATTGTTTTACTTAATCGTAATGACATTCGTGTCCTATGCACATGAAGAGTATATGGTCGTCAAAATTCTCTCCGAATTCTTCTTTTTCATGTGCATCAACCTCATGGGATTATTTTTTCGTCTAACAAACGAGATAGACATCCGAAGGACGTTTATCGACCGACGAGAATGTGTACAAAAAAATTTATCATTAAAATTTGAACGAAACCAAGAGGTGTGTATAATTAGCACTAATGCAGTAGCTCTAATTGTCATTTCTATTATTTCTACAGAAAGCACTTCTATTGAGCATTTTACCAGAGCATATTGCCGAAAAAATGGAAAAAGATATTAAAAACATGATCGAGAAACTGAAGCAACGAAAGCGCGACCGATCATTGTCAAACATCGTTGAACCAAGAAAGTAAGAAGCAATTACTTTAAGATTAGTATTTATTGATATTTACTGCTGTTTTGAGTAATTATGTCTGTCTTATTTGACCTTAAAAAATTAGTTTTTTTTCTCTCTTTCGTCAAACGAAGAAATTTGATTTTTGTTTGTAATGACTTTAATTGGAGTCGAAAACTTCAATGACCTTCAATATTTTGAAACTCTCTGTACATAAATTGCCCTGACGGACATAGATTTCGTTATTGAATGATTATGTCATATAGTTTTTGCAGAGAGTAACTAATTTGCTTTCATGCTTAAGTTTTAAGAAGGAATTTTGCAAGATTTTTGGGTTTTCTTTTGAATTGTGTAAATATCAAGCTATTGAGGTCAAGAGTCTCTGGTAATTTACCAGAATTTGGGGTTTATATTGACCTGTTCTTTCGGATTTTAATGTCATTTACATTAAGTCAGTCAAACAACATGTGAGTTTTAAGATGAAATGAATGTTTTGTCATTTTTTTGGAAATTCTTCTTATGGTTCTGAGGACAATGGTTTATTTTGACCTGTTCGACCACTGATCAATATAAGCAAAAGTTAAGCATACGTGTGTTTGAAAATAATGAAAATCTGTGTAAGATAGAACTTTCGTTGATGTCTAAGACATCTCGTTTCACAATTTCCAACAGATCTTAGTTGCAACAGATATTAAGCATGATTAATAGGTGTCGTAGTGTAATATTGTGAGGATTTGGCAATTCCTTGTCATATCTACAATACTTCACGTAATGTTTGAGAAATTGGCATATTTTGAGAATCGAACCACGTTTTACAAAAGAGATTTACAATTTTTAACTCGGTTGCCTCCCGAATTGACCATAGAGGACTTATCCTCGCACTAGTAAATTCAAGTCTATAAAGCTCGATTCCTCAGATTCTACTTAGCTTCCATACCATACATAGTAAACCCATAAACTTAAAATGATCTTTAAAACATCAAAATACTTCACAAGTTTATTAAAATGTATTTTCAATTTCATCTAGCCTGGGTGTCTCAACGTTATTTCCGCTTTCTAAAAGACAATGGAGTGCAACAAAGTAAATCAAAACATTTTTAATTCCAAAAACTATTTAAATTACCCAACCTAAATCAAATCTTTTTTTTTCAGTAAACTCTACGCAGAAAGACACAGTGACGTCTCAATACTTTATGCTGATGTCGTTAATTTTACACAAATGACCACGCAATTGCCTGTAAGATTGCTTGTCGAAACGTTACACGAATTGTTTGTAAAGTTTGATGAGGCATCTGCTGTGAGTATTTAATTTCCTAATAATAAACACAAAAACATAATGACGATGATGACTTCCATACAGGAACATAATGTACTACGAATAAAATTTCTTGGCGATTGTTATTATTGTGTGTCTGGTGTGCCAATAAAAAATAAGCGTCATGCGAAAAATTGTGTTGAGTTGGGCTTACAAATGATAAAAGACATTCGTGAGTTACGTATGGAACGACATTTAGACATTGATATGAGAATTGGGATACATTCAGGCAGCATCATTGGTGGTGTTATGGGATCAAATAAATGGCAATATGATATATGGAGTAAGGATGTCGTAATCGCTAATAAAATTGAATCAACTGGAGTCAGTGGGAAGATACACATCACACATAAGACATTAGCACTTTTACATGGTGAATATGCTGTGGAGCCAGGCACAGATGCTGCTCAAAATGACCCCCTGCTGCTCCAAAACAATATCAAAACATTCCTGATTTCCCCATTCTTTGATCAATTTGACGAGGTAATAAATCTTAATTTCATGACGTCTTGTAATCCTTATAATTGTTTTTGTCTTAAAAAAACCACTTAAAGATATCAAGAAATGGATTAACAAGAACAACTTCAGTGTCACAGGTAGACTTTTTTTTTTCGAGTGCTTTATTGAGAAAGAAACTGATTTATAAAATTTTAATTTCCTAGTTATCGCACTTTGAACAAAGCGTAATAAAGAAGAATTTCATGCAAAACTCAATGGAGCAGTTCCGTGATATTATGAGGCAGACGAATATTGAGCTAGAGAGAGAATTGGAGAGGATGCCGATTGGGAAGTTTCAGTGAGTTTAGTGTTTATATTTTTAAGGATGTAGATGTGAAGCATAAAGCATTTTCAATCAAATATTTGCTTCTAGAATCTTAAAATTCTTCAACCTCCGGAAAATTGAACCAGAAATACCAGCAACAACATTTTATGGAAGAGACTCGTTCTCAGAACCTGAAGATTTTGGCTATCAAGGCCAAAAAATGAATCAAATTTCAAAATTTTTCCTGAGATTTCGAAGGAATCGAAATTGGGAGCTACCATTTTTAAATGAACCTGACTACCTCCTTAAGTATAGCATGATGATGAGTTTTATTGTCTTGTCGATAATTTTGACAATTCAAGTTATTAATCGATCGTAAGTTGGCAATACAAGTAAGTCATTATGTAATATTATCACTGTCTTTTCATTTTAGAATGAGCGCAATGTTCTTTGTGTACACAAGCATCTCAGCCATATTGATGTTTGCACTTGTCGTCATAATTTGGTATAAGAAAATTTGGGACATATTTTCTCCAGTTCTAGATGCTGATCCAACAATGATTAGACCTCCAGACTCTAGTTTTAATAGGAAAATATACGGCTTTTCATACAATATAATGTCCAGTGCCATTTGGAGGACAATAATCTACTTATTTGTCGTATCGATTCTGTTTGTTGTTTCTCTGTTACACTTGGTGAGTGACTCAATGCTACAACATGTGCCTTAATTGATTTAAAATGCTCTGTTTATAGATTGAGGGCTGCAGTGATTACATTAAAGAAGCAGAAACTCAGGAACGCTCCAATGTCTCATATCATGATGATTCTATATTTACTGATGACTATCCATTGTGTTTAAATTCTTGGGTAAGAAAAATTAAGTCACAATCAAATTCAACCTAGATTTGCACACATTTAAATGTTGTTTCTGCTGTTGACCAGCTCCTAAACTTAGTATCAAGCTAATGCTACTTGGTAAAGGTAGCTTTAGATTCCTCTTTGAATGGTTAAGTAACTTATTTACTTGTCTAACCTGATGGGTAGCGAGTGTGTTTTGTATAGCTCATTCACAAAGCCTAGGTCAACTTCTTAGTTAAATCTTTATGGCTCCTGAATGTATAACATTTTAATGTGACCCAATGAAAAAGAGCGAACAACGATCTTCAGCATTTTTGCATCCACGTGCGAAAGTAAAAGTGCTAAGGCATTATGTCATGAGTAATTTACATCCAATAAACTAAAACATTAAAGATAATTTTAATTCCCTGATATTATCATCTTTTCATCTTAACAGCAATTAACTCATCATTTTTATTAATTATCTCATTTCAGTCTGTGACGCATTGCATTGTGCTGACAATCTCCATAAGTTTCTTATTTCTACGGATTCATTTTATTCTTAAACTTTTAGTAGCGTTGATAATTGATGGAACTTATTACTATGTGATCTTTTATCGCTATGGAAGCATTTATGAGGTGTGTGTGTGTACAAAAAAAAAATCATTTATTATTCATACGTGTGTTTATCCTTAATTTTATTGATATTGTAAGGCTGATTTAGTGTGAAATTATTTTTTTTTTTGCTTTATTGAGGGGAGCAATAGTTTTTTTGTGACTTTGCTTGATACGGGTTTGTTTTCTATGGCTTTCTGTTACCACATTTAGCAGTGATGAGTGCTATGGCGTTTCTGAGGGATTCAAACTTAGTCGCACATAGTCCAAATTCATTAATTTTGTTGGGTAGCTCGGGTAGCCCTAGAATCTAGCTTTACGTATTATATTCGAGTGCCCAACTTTTTCTAATGCTTAAGTCACCCTATGCGTAGGTGTGACCTAGCTTCTACATTCACAAGTTTACTTAATAATCAAGCGTCACTAACCCTTCAAAGATAACAAAAATTGCAAACTCACAACTTATTAATCATCACTACTTAAAAATTGCAGGTCGGAGCAACAGTTAATACTAACTTAGATCCACGGATTGCACATTATTTTAAGGTGATAGTTGCAACAGTAATTTTCCACTTGATTGATCGTCACTCGGAGTACATTCAACGTGTTGGCTTCATGTAATTGATCATATAATTTAATGTACTTTACATTGTCATAAAACTTGACAATTTTTAATTTCTTACATGTGTAGATGGAAGCAGCAGCTACTTGAGAAGAAAGAAATGGCTGTGCTTACAAAAGAGACGAATAAGATTCTCGTATATAATTTATTGCCAGTTCATGTCGCTGAATTGTATCTTTCGCAGCAATATCGTAATGATTTGTATAGTGAGGAGTATGAAAATGTTGCGGTCATGTTTGCAACAATTATGAATCTTAATCCATCAGCAGACACAATGGAGAGTGAGCATAGCATATTAAAGAACTTCAACGAGATCATATGTGCGTTTGACGAGAAGTTGATGACATTTGGAGCTTATCAAAAGGTTGAAAAGATCAAAGTTGCAGGATGGTCATATATGGCAGCATGTGGGCTCGATCCTGGTCGTGGTGACTCAACAAACTCATATAAAGGCTTGGCAGATGGCCGACGGAGTTTAAATATGAATTTAATATCGCGAACGCCAGAGGTTCGTAAACAGAAAATTAGTCTGCGGCAGTCCAATAATGTTGTCTTGATTCTTGTGGAGTTTGCACTTGAACTCATGCGTGTTCTGAAGCAAATTTGCGATGAGAATGATAATTTTAAGAATCGATGTTCACTTCAACTTCGTGTTGGTATAAGTCATGGAAAAGTGATGGCAGGTGTAATTGGCGCTAGTAAACCACTTTATGATATTTGGGGAAATTCAGTCAATATGGCTTCGAGGATGGACAGCACGGGAATTCCAGGTTCCATCCAGGTGAATCAGCTTGTAAATTTTTTATTGAGATGTAATAAACTATTCTTTGAATTTAGGTGACGGAAGATACAGCAAGTATTTTAATGAGATTCGGAGTTGATTGTAAATCACGTGGAGATGTTTACGTTAAGGGAAAAGGCATGTTGCCTACGTATTTAGTATCAATAAGTGAGGAATTGGAATTCGTAAAAGATGATTTTAGCACAAAACAAATTTCATTTGAAACAAAGCTTTAAAAATTGTGAGAAAATAAATTTATTGATTTTTAAGATTTATTAAGTGAAACTTAAATGTTAAAATTGTATAAATACGAAGATCGAGATAAAGGAGGATAAAGTAAGCGGCAATCTATGCTATGAAAATTAATTTAATAATTCAGTGTAAATTATAGATGTAAGACTATTCATTAGGTGAACCTATTGTGATAAAATAAAGGTAGAGTAATTCAAATCAAAAGTTTCAATTTTACAATAAAATCCTCAAAAATTCCAAAGTCAACTCCAATAACATGACGCTAAACTATAGTCAATCGATTTGTCACCAAAAATTCATAAAAACCCAGATTCACGAGGAAGTAATTGACAAGCTTACATATTTGCTTAGATCTTCTAGACATCAATCGAGACTGCAAATTGGAATTTCCGAAACATTACAAAGCAAAAAGCGGAGTCGACGATTTTTTACCTGTAAAATTTATTCAACAAATTTTCGTAAATATTTGCCTTTTAATTCTCATGCTATTAACTAATTGCAACATGCATCAAAACGAATCGCCTTTCTACGTATAAAGGAAATCAATAATTACATTGTATTTTAAGGTTATAGAACTTTATTGATTGCATAATGCAACAATCAACTTGAAATTTCCTAGATTCATTGAAAAACTACATATTATGAGTGTGTCATAAATCTACGAATTTACTGCTGAGTCATTGAATTTACATAATCATCCTTCAAAAGACACCAACACAGCACCCGACATTTCACTTTCTATGATTATTTATTGATCTTATAATTACTCACAAAATAAAAAAAATTATGCAATTTTAATTAATAATATAAAACTAAAACATTGAGAAATGATATGAATTTCATGATCAAACGTCAAGTTTACATTACTACTCGTAAGGATATCAACCTCAAAAACAACAAAAACTCTCTCGGCTTCCTCGTAAAAAAGATAAAAACAAATCGCGAATATTAATTAAATCATATTTTGTTGTGGCGCATTAGAATGTAAATAGATTGCTTTCAATTACAATACCTTCGATCGCTCGCAGCTTTATACCGCATAATTAGTCGTGTTAAATACATGTTTTCAGTTCATCAGGGTTTATGACTTATTAACATCTCATATTGTTTTTACTTGACTTCCGCATTTATCTTTTTGATCTTCACAAAGACGCATTGATTGAAGATTAAACAGCGTAAAAAGTTTATTATTTTTATATTTTCTAAAACGACGCTAGAAGGGTTGAAACTTTTTGTTTTGATGTATTACATGAAAGTGACTAATTTCCTTAATAAGTAAGTTATTAATTTTGAATATTTAAAGTTTGTAATTTTCACCTTCGGGGAATTTTTTGAATGTTTTGTTTTAATAAAAAATTAAATTTATTGTGATGACAAATTAGTAAAGATAATCCTTGGATGTGGGGAGGGGCATGAGCTGAATATGAGCTGACAATCCTGTTTTGTTCACAAATCTAAGATTCAATTATTTTTTTCAATAAATTGCAGGACATTGTGGTTTATTCATTAGAGGGAGGGGGGATGCGATTTATTTAAAAGCTAGCTGAATTAAAACATTTTCAAACAATATATAACAACTTATATCATTGTAGACACACGAACAAACCGTAATTAAACATGTTCAATTAAAAGTCGTAGCTTTGATCTTTCATTAATAAGTTCCAAGGTCTTTAGTTTTGAAGAAAAAGAAACAAATAAAAAAGTATCAAAGGAAATAGTTGAACTATTCATTCCTAGATTAAATGCTAATTAATAAATTAATAAGAAGAATTGTCTTGTCAATTGAATTTGCGTATCCTTGAACGAGTCCAAAGTCTTAATTTTGCCATATTCATGAATGAGCAATTGAAACATTTATTTTTTAATTTTTTTGAAATTCATTTTTTTATTAATTATTTAAATCGATTTCAATTGAATTTTGGTATAAAAATTACAATGCATTGATATTTTTGTATACAGTTGCTAAGAGTTGATTCAAAACTAAATTTCATAATTCTAAAATTAATTTACAAAAAAGGCACACCACTGGATTTAAAGTTTCATCTAATTTTGGACATCCTGGCTCTCTAAAAGTTACACATCATTTATGATCGACTCTTTATTGATTATTGAATATTAAAATGTGTGACTATACACAGAGAAGTACTTCACAATCACAGCTAGTAAAAAAAAAACTCTTGAAATTCGTCAACCATCAGCAAGATAAATTAACAATTGAAAATAATAAAAAACCAGAAATAATTATAATACGTGGACTTTATTGCTCACACATGTTCTAAATTTTGAACACATTTTTTATTTATTTTTAAAAATCAAAATTTTTCATCTTTTGATAAGTACAATAAAATTTTATTTTTTCAATTTATTTTACAATTTTGTTTATCACGGCATAAAAGTGGATTTTCAGTAGCAAGTGTTAAGACACGTGTATTCCTACAAAGATTAAAGCTTATCAATTTTTTCTCACTTAAAACATATAATTTTGATTTAAAATCATCTACATTGATCCATTAATCTATACTTAAGATGAGATTAATTTCATTTTAATTGTAAGTTTCAAAAAGATCTCCAATTGTGCTTGTTTTGTTTTAAAAGCATTTTGAGGTCAGCTCATTGTTCACCTCTTAATTCTGTCGTGGACAGTCCGTAGAGTTAATCGCTGACATTTAATTGTGTCGCTTTTTTTGTGAGATATTCATCATTAATTTAATATGTCTTTAAGCTTGCCTAGTTACCCTATTCTGATATATTTATTGTCTTTTTTTATTTCCTTAATTTTTTTCATAATTCTATGAGAATTTATTGGCAAGAAGGGTACCAAAAATCGTAATAATAATTTTTTTTCATGAATATTTTGAAGATGAAGAGCTGCTAACACCAAACTAGTCGATTTTTTTCTTAATTTTTGGTATTATTTGCTGCAGATTACCCTGCAAATTTTGAATTATTCGCGTTCAACAACTCTTGATCCACAAATGAAAATGTTTAAAGTGAAAATCAGAAAATTTTATTTACAAAACAGTTATTTAGAGTTTGATGAACAGCCTTTCCGTGTTTTTTTATAAATATATAAATTAATTTTTTACATAAATACATATACACCAAGGAGAATGAAATTTAAGAAATCGAACATTTTTTTATTTTCTTCACAGCTTCCTCGACTATTGTATTTTTTTTTTAAATTACTAATTAGGCAGATACTCTCTAGAGGAATTTTTGAATTAAAATTTCTCGAGGGTATGTGCCTTGGTTATGTTGGGACTAAGTTGAGAATTTTGCTTGGAAATTCTTTTAACTTTTTTTTAAATTTTGAATTTTTGATTTTTTTTGAAGTTTTGATATTTTTGAATTTTTGATTTTTTTTTGAATTTTTTGGATTTTATTGAATTTTTGATTTTCTTTTGAATTTATTATTTTTTTAAAATTTTTGATTTTTTAAAATTTTGATTTTAAAAAGTTTTTGATAAGAATTTTTTTTTATTTATTGAAAATTTAATTTTTTGAAGTTTTGAATTCTAGAATTTTTGGATTTTTTTGAATTTTCGAATTTCTTTTGAATTCGCGAATGACTTTAAATGTGTGTGAAAAATAATATTTTCTTTAGAAATTTCATATCCAACAAGAAGCTGGGAAGCTTTTAATTTGAAAAAATTCTATTGATCATAATTTATGAGTGACTTCAAATCCAAAAATCTTTTATGTAAACTTCAAAATCTTTCAAAACTCAAAGAATTTCCAGCAATTTTCTCAACTTAAATGTCCCACAAGATTTCGGTATAATTATGAAATTTTACATTCCAATTTTCTTCCTATTCAAAGTAATTTTCACTCGAAATCAAGAAAATTACATCAAATTAATAAAAAGAAATCAACATGCGAATTAAAAATTCCAACGAGACACCACAAACCTTGTCGATTCGACTATATACATAAACACACAATTTTTGTTTCGATAAAGATGATTATTTATAATTTAATAAGTATTCTTAACCTTAACAAAATATGAAGATATTAAAGATATTTGAGCAAAAAAACCAAAATCGTCTTGTTGATTCGTGTGATTCGCTTATTACTTCATCTCGTGTATATAGTACATAAAATAGAATTCATTTAGCTTTTTGACTACAAAAACAAAAAAGAAAACCATCAATATATTACCGCATCTGCTTCTTATTCTCTTTTTTTTAAAATCTCGACACGAAGGTCTTTGACAAAAAAAAACCTTCTTAATTGGAATTGAAATCTTTTTCAGCACAAGAATTCAAATATTTAATTTGATCGTGTACTCTATTGTCGATATGCTATACAGATGCCTTAATCAAGACGACATTTTTTGTCTTTCAAAATATTTTTTTTTGTTTTGTTTACCGATAAGAAGAGTCTTAATGTCTAGTATTAAATGAGAATTCTTATAAGATATATCGCGCGCGTATAAAAAATTCGAAAAATGTAAACTATAGACATACTTTTTTTAATGCTAATTGATTGCTATAGAGTCCCATGTTTCCCACAATTTTTATAATAATTAAAATTACACAATAAGTCTTTGTGTTTATGATGACGGCGAATCCTCATCATCATTACTACTGGACGAGTTGATCGTCTTCATTGGTTTCACGTGATGATTTGTATGTGTATGATGTACTTTTGGCTCCTTCAACAGATGATAATGATCTCTCTGGTGAACGAGAATTTTGTGTGGTCCGGTAATGAGTAAACTACTTCCACGTCTTAGTGATCGTCTACCCATCTCAAGGATTTCGATCGTTGGATCACTTGAAAATACGAAATTCTTGTATGCTTGGATGAATACGAAGATTATGATGAATGCACCTCCAACGACCATACCATATGAAAAAAGTGGAATTGCTGTTGGAGCAAAGACTGTTCCAAGGTAAATCCAGCGGCGAATTGGTGGCGTTAATTCACTAATGCCCTAAATTTTTAATGAACAGAAACAAGATAAAAATTATCATTAAATGTCATTGAAATTCACAAAAAAAATATATATTTGAAATGCTCAATTACGTCCTTGTCGGCATATAAATTTGCCATAAAGGAAGTTTCAAAGCATTTTGACAGTCAAACATGATGGTTATCATGGTTGTGCTTACCTCTTCAAGCCACATGATTGGAAAGAGAAAATCACGAAATTTTTCAACACACTTTATGGCTGGTGCGTGCTCAACTCGTAAATTTAGCTGAACTCTAACTTTGCCTTCGACAGGGACGCCCAATTGCTGTATGCGGAAAATAAGATTATTAATAAAAATTGTTGATTAATTAATAAATTATTTTAAGGGCACTTACCGGTTGAATTTTGAAATAAGTTTCATGAAGATCTCTGTTTGGCTCGAGACCTTCAACATCTTTTAGAAATTTCGGGTTTGACTCATAAAAATGAGGATTTGAGATGTACACTGGTGCACCTGATGACATTCAAATTATTAGAATTGGGCATAAAATTTATTAATTCTCAATGACTTACCATACTGACACGGACTAATGTTTTGAAGACCATCTTCTGCTGCATAATCTTCTTCGTTAAAACACATATTGTCTTTGTTGCTACCGCCATAAGCGTCCCTTGGAAGCTGGTATAAATCTGCACTTATTCCTGTGAAAATTAATTATATTATTAAGAGTTCTCGTTAATAATTCTTGTAGCTTTAACAACTTACCATCCTTAACGACAGGCTTAACATAATCCAAAGGAATAACACGACACAAATCCTTATCATAAACATAAACTCTATCAGATTTGGTAATGTCACGAGGTGGGAAGAAAGATCCTTCAGATGCTGAGATATTGTTACATGGCTTATGTCTCCAATGTGGCAGTCGATCAAGTCCATTAAGGCGGTCGAGATATCCAAATTTGTGCATTCCATCCTCACCCATTCCAGTATTAATGGTTGATATCTCCGACAGCGTTCCATTACGCTACAAAAAATAATTAATTCAGGTGTTTTATTAGAAAAGGATTCATCAAATGCAAATGAAATTGGAATTGAATCGTCAAGTTTGAGGCAATTAAAATAAATGGAACTAAAATTCTTTGTGTATACAGTCTATTGATGAGATTTTGAAACAACAATAAAGATTGAGAATTAAGAGTGCAATAAAATGCATATTAATTCACAGTTCCAATAAATTATAATTAAGTAACACTTTTCAGGTTTTGTGGCATTTTCACTTTCAGTTGAATTGCAAATAATCGATCAGTATTGAAATTTATGCTCAGTAAGCTTTGATAAATTTATTTGGTTTTGTTGATGCAGTTTTAATTTTTTGATGATTCAAATAGTTTATTAAGCTGATGTGCTTCATCTTTTGGTTCCTTGACAAGAAAATTGGTGAGTTAAGCTAGCTTGAAAAGCTCAAATTTCATTAAAAGAAGATCAAAAACAATTTATTTCTAAGTATTTTCCATAAGTATCGACTATTATTCATAAGCTTTGTTTAAACTTTACGTAGACTGCAGCTGCTTCCTTCACTCAACATTTTGTCGACTCATTCAACTGTTTGAATTTCTAAATTACTGAATCAACAATACTGTTGAAGGGAATTCAACAGAAATTAAATCAATGAATTCAATTAGATGCTTGTAAATGTTCAAGTAAAGAATGAAATAAGAACAAAAGTGATTCCTTTATTATGCAAATCCTAAGCAACTTAGTGATTGGGCGATGAGTTTCAGGTAGCACTTTACTTTATTAAAATCTACTTAATCTGGGAACTAATAATTTTGATTAGATTTATTGATGTTTATATGCCATAAAGGGAGTCGTTTATGATAATTCTATAATATATGGCTAATTGGTGGAATTAATTTGAGAACTTTGAGTTATTTATAACTTTTGTAGGAATTTTTCTTTGTTTTATGAAACTTTTAATTTCATTTTAATTGCGTTTAGAATACAAAGAGTAATTAAAGTTTATTTTGAACTACATGATGTCTCTAGAGTCTCGATTCTCTAAATCTTCTTCGTAAATTCCATAATTAAAATCCTAGCAGAAATTTACTAGGAATTTCCTAGTAATTTACAGGATAACTTTCCATTTGCTACTTGCTATTTACCAGAGATCGAAGCCGATTTTTTCGGCTTAACTCAATTTTTGATTTTTTTGATAGAAAAATGCCATTTAACACCCATTTTAAGTATTTAAATTGAACTTTACATGCTTTACTATGATTCTGTGAAATATTTTTTCAGCATGTAGCTATAGTGAGCTCAAAATTTCAAGTTAAAGAATGTTAAGCCGAAATTTAAGCCGATCGGCTTAAAATCGGCTAAATTGAAATTCAGAGCTTACTATAGCTACATGCTGAAAAACTATTTCACAGAATCATAGTAAAGCATGTAAAGTTCAATTTAAATACTTAAAATGGGTGTTAAATGGCTTTTTTCTATCAAAATAATCAAAGATTGAGTTAAGCCGAAAAAATCGGCTTCGATCTCTGCTATTTACTAGTCAAAATTCAAGTTCAAATCTTCGCCAAAGACACGCATTATCACTTGCTCATTGACTAGTCAATTCGCTTACAATTTAACTAGTAATTTACTAGCAAATTTGTAAAAAATTTAAATGAATATAACCGTTAATTTCCACGTGTTCTTTTGATTTTTCTTATTTCTGTGAATTATTATAAAAGTATTAGTGCGTACTTATTTAAAGTTAATTAAAGTACACTAACACTATGAAAACAAATAAAAGACTTAATTTAATTAAGTCGAATACTGATGAACGCCCATGACTCGCACGCAAACAAATTTGGATCGAGCTTATGAAGGTGATTTCTGCGCGCTCTTGTGAAGTATATGGCAAATGCCAAATTAAGAACAAAATTTTTTATGACGCAAAAAATTCTTTTTTTGATGATTTTTCGTAAGATTCGAACTTAAGCAGACTTGATCAAACATCAATCTTATAGTGGTGATTTTTGCGCGCTCTTGTGAAGTATATGGCAAATGCCAAATTTAAAACAAAATTTTTTATGACGCAAAAAATTCTTTTTTTGATGATTTTTCGTAAGATTCAAACTTAAGCAGATTTGATCAAACATTTCACATGGTAATTTGTTAGTAATTTGCTACTAAATAGCAAGTGTAATTTATTAACAGTAAGTTGTTTTAATAATAACTAGTAAATTGCAAGTAGTAGAATAGAAAGACTAGCAATTTGCTAGTTAGTCTCGCTATATAGGCTGCCTATTGATTTTTGCCGATTTTTGGTCAAAAAACTCGACATCTCCCAATTTCAGCTCTGAAAAAGCGACAACCGACCAAATTTTTCAAGTAAAAAAATGGACTGTCACGCTCAAAAGTGCGCAGTTGGATATCCTAATATTTATCAATTCAAAGCCTAATCAAATTTAAAACTAGCTTCCAATTCAAATTACATCAAATAAACTTGAATTATTTTTTTATCTCGAAGGTATGATCACATAACAAAACGTGCAACTTGATTATTTTCAATTACTATGACTGCATATTAAACGATGATGATTTTACAGACACAAAAAATAGGTGTCAACCGTAATTATAGGCTTTGTTTCAATTTCCATTATTAATTGAATTATAAATCTGGGGGTTATCAAGTGATGATGCCCAGGAGCCTTTGAAAGCGCTTTTCGAAGTATTCTACAATTAATCTTCGTGCACTTCTCTTTGGGGTAAGCATAAAAATTATTTGTACCTTGGGTAGTCTTGGAGACCAGCCCAAGCAATAAATGTGAAGTTTGTGGTAGATAGGAGATAACTTAAATCAGTGATGGACAAGCCATATGCTGCAGAACACTAGTGTGTCGTTAAAAAGTCAGAAAATTTCCCGAGCCGTATGCCGTGTGTTGTTTCAGTGATACCACTAAAGTGATGGCATAATATACTAATGAAACTTAACCCGAATGACACAAGTCGGTTAATCGATCAGAAATCCAGCACCAAGCGAGTGTGATTCTGGCACGGTGCTGAACTAGAATCAATGCCAGCACCATGCTAGAGTTATGCCGGTTTGTCACCGTATTTCTATTTGATTAACAGACTTGTGATATTCGGGTAACGGCCAAAAAACCCAATATTGTATTGACATCATTCATAAACGACTCATCCAAGTGCTTAAGAGACTTTTTCATTAAAAAAAATATTTACAGATTTTAAAATTGCATGAATGAATGGCAAAATATTAGACTCATGTGATTGATAAATCAGGAAGTGTTCGAAAGTACTTGAAATTCTTTACGACACAAAAAAGATCTTCGTAAACAAAAGGAATTTTTTCTTTAATTTTAAAAATTAATCATTTTTTCATGCATATCAATTTATTTGATAATCTACAACAATTTATTTATTTCCAACACGAGCAAAATATTATTTATTAAAGATAAATTAACCTCTTATGTGCAGTTCAATTTCACGTGTCGGAAAATGTATAGTTAAGGCTATTGTGTATGTGTGTGTGTGTGTGTGTGTGTGTGTCTCTTACTTATTTCATTGAGACGTGTGAAGAGATTAATGCTGTCGTGATTATTATTTACATTTTAATATATATATTTTTTTCAACTGACTGCAATTTGTTAAATATATAATTGCCATAAATTGATTATCTCCATCTCACTCTATTTTTTGTTTGTGCGTCTTCATGAATTTCTTTTGATCTTTTTTTTTTGCTTGCATTATAATGGAAAAATTTTAATGACAAAAAAGTGAGACGTGAATAACTGTCAAGATCGCAAAAGTTTTTTGACCATGAACTGAGACACATGCTTGCAATCTGTGTGTTCTTTATGGATTTCCTAACAGGTTCTGATTTGAATAAATATCGAGAGGTCGAATTTGTATGGAGTGTGATGTTATTATCTTTTGAAGATTATTGTTTGATGACCATTTTTGGACTTTGTTGTCACAAATGGTAATAAAAGATGCAATTTTGATGGTTTCAAAATTAAATTCACATTAAAAATTGTAAAAGCTCTTAAAAAACTTTCTTCAAACTCTAAAAGCCTAATTTCACAGGAAACTAATCAACCAACATTCTCAATTACTTCAATTTCAATCTAATTCGTTGCAAAAGCACTCAAGTCAATTCAATTAATTGACTCAATCCAACTCACTCCTTCCATTATTACGACTAAGTATGACGTATCAACATAAGCGTATAACGGTTCAATCTACTTTAATTGATACTTTATATTTTTAATTCTATACTGCACGTAACTCGTGTCCTTAGCTTTTCATGTCACGTATTAATCTAAATTTCAGTCAATTTTTTACGCATTTGCATTTATTATTTAAATTTTTCATTTCCTTTACACATTAAAATTAAAGTTTGATTGTCTATCAAATGAAAAGCACGCTCCGAATTTAATTGACTTGTAATAAGGAATTAAAAGTTCATTGAAGACGAGAACAAATCACACATATTGTTGTCGACTAATAAATTATTAATCCACGATTATTCCCTCGATTTTTAATTAAACATTTTAGTTTTTGTTAATTAAGCAATTGATTTGTTTATGCTAATAAAAGTAATAATTGTAGAGCCTTGCCTTAAATCTCAACCCAACTGAATATGGAATTTTTATATTGTTATTTTTTATTTCTATTTCATTAATATATCATCTCGAAAAGCACCTTCAATCTCAAGAGAATCAGCAACTTTGTTATTTTAATTTCAATTTATTTATTTCCGGTCGACAATCATTGAATTCTACATTTTTTTTGCTACATTACATTAGATTAAAGAATTTTAAACGGATCCTTTCAATTAGTATGGTAATTAAATGTATAAAATAGCAAATAAATTAAATGTTCATCTAAATAACTTTTAAAATGAGTAAGGAAGCTTTTTTCCTGATTTTTAAATTTAACTTGAACTTTATTTAAAAAAAAACTTGACATTTTGCCTCAATAAATTTCTAATTCTGTAATTGAAGCTAGGAAAAATGAAACTATTCAGCTACTGTTAGTAATAAGAGTCGTTATTTGATTATGTTTGAGATTAACGATGTGACAATTTAATTCTTACTTTATAAGGTAAGGTATTAAGCTATTTATCCTTATATGATTGCTTTTATTGAGAATATGATGAATTAATCAAGAATTTTATAAATGAATCCTTCAGTTGATTGTTTTATTGATACAGTATTTAAAAATAGACATTTCTAATCTAAAGTGCAGTTTAGTACATTTGTAGGTGAATAATATCTTACTATGAAAATTGCTATGCTGGGTGGTCTTACTTGACTTAATAAGTAAATTAAAATTCAGTTTAATTTGCTTTTTGAGAGCAATGTTATTTATTGGAACTGTTCTACTATGTCACTTGGTGTCTAATATCAAAAATTGTGGTTTTTTACCCAAAGCCCCTTAATCTATGCTACTAAATCGATTTACTCTTGTTTAGTCAAAGAATCTCCTAGAATCCCATGAATTAAATACAGGGGCCTGTTTCTAGGGGTAACCGAAGTATCCTCCTCTAGTCTGAAATCAATTTTACGTGTACCTAATGTTGTGATACATCAAATTTCATTCCAATCCTAGAGTGCTCCCCCCCCCCCTGCCCCCAAAAAGAACCATTGTGTATTCAGATCACTTCTGATCCTGATCTGCGCTAGGGTGGTTCGCAGCTAATGAGAGTTTAACGTGTGTGAGTGAGGATGTGCCAAACCACTGCACTAAAAGCTAGACCTACAATTTATAGTGGAATCCGCAATCCTTCCAATTATGTAGCCCATAAAACAGTCCCAAATACTCTCAATTTTCAAATTAGATCCCATTATTTCTGATTCTAGATGCTAGCTTCTAGTGCTTCCTAGAAAACTCTACCACAGAATTGAGTTACTTTCAAAATTATTCAAATTTTGACTTTTTATAGCTGTCATTCGAGTGTGTATTTATTCAACAAGCATTTCATCAAAATAAATCATTTTAACACTGAATAGATAATAACATAATTTTTAATTACCGCATATCAGAGCATAACAATTGCCATTAAAAAATACAAAAGCTTTTAATTGCTTCAAAAATTTTATGAAATGATATCTCATTAAGTTTAAAAATAATGAAATTCAAAAGAAATAAAAACAAAAATTGCCAACAAAGAAAAAAGAAGTAAATTAAGTATAAGCATTTAGCTCAACATTACATAACAATAATAATAGATTTTTGACCTTCCATATACACATACATTTGAGTATCGAGAGGCATTTATGTGCTGCGAGAAAAATTGATTGAATTCTGTGCCGTTAAGGAAATATTAAGTGTAAGTAATTTTATTCTCTCCTCTCAAGTTTGCTACTTAACGGTCGCCTCAAGGATAAAGCAAAATATTTGGGGAAAAAAAGTTTATTTGTTCTTATGTCGTTCTTAGGTTTTTTATGCTCCAGACCGAATCGGGCCCTTCTTTTTTGCACCTTGTCTCTTATTTACTAAAGTCTGACACAATCTTATTTTCAAAGACTATTCCAAAACACGAAAGCATTTTTTTAAAACCTTTGCTTAAAACTCAGCCAATTTGAATCTCAATTTGTTTTGAAACTATTTTTCTTGGACAATGCTTGAATATTTGGTGTGTCCCGCTTTTTTTAAAGCTGAAATTGAGAAATGTCCTGCTTTTCGACCAAAAATCTCTCAAAACCCATGGACAGCCTAACGATACAGCTTTTTTTTTCAATTAATTGCACATCATTGCATTTATTGACGAATTACTGTCCGGTAAAGCTTTTAAACACCGAATCACTTAACAACAGCGCCATTTATTGACCAAAGCACTCATTCTAGATTTCAGGCTGCAGCCAATCTTTTAAACACTTAGAATCTTAATTTTTATTATCCCATGAAATTAACTGCCGGAATTAATGCGATGACACCAAGAACACCAATTTAATTTCATCATAATCCGATCATATCCATTCATGAACACAATTAACTCAACTAATCCTTAAAATGCGTTCCAATTACAACACAAATCCACTTCAATAATCTCAATCAATAAAAAAATCCCATTCAATCATATTCATTCAGAATTAAATTTTTTCGCATGCGGAATTGATTGATGCAAATTTATGACTTCCCTCAAATTACTTATCTTTATAAGCCTGATCACGTTCATCCATTTAAATATTTTGTATCGATTAGAAATTGTTCTATAAAAAGCACATCTTAATTGTCAGTTGTCATCAATGATTTGATTTGACTAGGTGAATGGAATGTTATTAAAATTCAATTGACTTTAATTTTTTTTTTCTTCAATCAGACAATGAAGCTGCACAGTTGCAGTAGCACTTATGTATTTATATGTATATTTGTGGTGACATTTTACGGCTTATTTATTGCACATAACCACAATTTTAAAGTTGTTATGGTTGAGATTGAGAGAGGTTAGTAATGGATATATACATGCATGCATTTATGTGCAGTTTGCAAGAAAACGAGATTTTTGTTTCGGTGCCATAAATTGAATGACTTAGTGTAAGCGACAGGAATTTGCGCAAAAATAGCTATGCCACATATGCGTGTGCATTTTGATTGCATTATTAGATTTGACCTATATGAGCTCATTAAAGTCTATCGCGTTTCGATAAAAAAAAAATTAACTTGATGTGCAATTATCAGTTAAGATCAGAGATCTATCTACTGCTGCAATAGCTTTTATTTCTTATTGGAAATTGATGAATATGTGAGCTACTGATGATTTCTTCATAGTTAATTTAATAGCAATCTGTATTACTTCACATTATTGTTACATTAAATATTCATTGCTGGCAGCAACAATTTCCGTGCACCTTATGTACCATATATTCATGTTGTACGGTCAATTTATGGGTTTGAGGTATGAAAATTGATAATAAAATGAAATGCATATGTCGAGTAAGCACACAATGGGGTTACATGTAATTTGACATTTATTTTAATTATCAACAGCACTTGCTGTCGGGCTTATTGTTCTATGATTTAATTATATCGTGATAAACACTGTTGCATTTGTTAATGAAAACAATTATCTTATAAAAATTATTTTTCAGTCAAATAAAACATTTTTTTTATCTCACGTTTTTATCATCAATCATTGACATGTAAATTAATAAGCCATAAAACAACAACTCAATTGCATACAACTCCCAGTTTTTTTTAAAAAGAGCGAATTTTTTGACGTCATTTGGGTTTTCAAGCAGAACAGAATTAATTTTTCAATAAAGCGAAAAGCCATAAAACTGGTCATTAATTAACAATTTCCTATATCTATGGACACGAGATTTTTTCTTTTGGAAATTCCCAGTGAAAATTATTTTTATAAGAACATCTCAAAGTCCACAATAGTCAGACAGAAACTTGTTTGAAAAGAAAAAGTTGTTGCGACTCGATTGCGACAAAAATTATGCTTTGAAGTTTTATAATAATAGTGTTGATGCGATGATTTTGTTGACAATTGCTTTTTAATAGCAATAATAGCTCAATTAGTGATAGTTTTCTATAGTTTAATTAGGATCTTGTTAGCTATTTAATAATTTATGAGATGTAATAAAAAAGATAGAATGTAACCCGAATGGATCAAATTGGTTAATCGATCAGAAATTTGGTAGCAAGTCGGTGCGACTTTTACATGGTGCTGGACTTAAATCGAAGCCAGAACAATGCTGGACTTAAATCGAAGTCAGCACCACGCTAGACTTAAATCAAAGTCAGCACCACGCTAGAATCATGCCGGCTTGGCTCCAAATATCTATTTAATTATCCGACTTGTGCAACTCGAGTAAAGAAATTGGTTCTGTTTGAATTTTTGGTAAAAAGCAGCGATGAGGTCTATGCTTGTCTAAATAACTATATGACATTAGCTTCCAACAACTTCAAACACTTCAAAAACTGAAATTCACAATTTTAAGCTTCATTAAAATTTTTTCTGTACCTTAAATCAATTAAGTGTGATTTGTTCGCTTGAGATTAATTTTCTGGGATTTTCCAAACATCCCAAATTTATTTAATGATCTAAATATAGCAGAATCATCTTATTTGCTTTTTTTTGCACAATCTGTAAATCAATTACAGGAATTACAGACTGTAGCGATATAAAAAAATCTAATGAGCTATAAAAAAATCTCAACTCAATAACATTTCCTCAAATACATTCTCAAGGGTCATTGTAAATCTTCAATTAAAGCTGCAAAAAAAAAGATTTGTTTATCATCTGTCTGTAATTGTTTTTTAATCCGCTTAGAGCACTAAACTCTCTTCATTCCAGTCAATGCAAGGTGAACCTTAATCGTCATTTATATCCACAATTTAAGTGTGTGTCTCGCTTAGAATCAATTGACTTGTAGTCAATTAAAACATTATGATAATTTAATCCCGAGAATCACGTGCAAAATAATTTGTTGTTTACAATCTTAAAAGCATTTGCGATTGAGATAATCACTAGACAAAAACTAAGACGCATACTAAAGTCAATTATCAATTGTATCATGTTTGAATCTCAAATGTAAAGCAGGAAATCATTGACTAAATGTCTTGATCAGTTCAATCAGATATAAAAAAATGTTAATTGTCATATCTAATTATACATGTGTGAGCCACAATATTCTAGCTATCAATACTTTTCTGCATGTGCTCAACAACGTGAATTTTGAAGGAATTCATCAGATTAAGAATTTGAATTTCAGCAATCAATAGGTCTAGCGTAGCTAAGTTCCAGTAACTTGTTGAGATTAACATTAAATGATTCTTTAATAAGTCTAAATATCCATTTAATGATCAACAGTCGTAAATAAGGTCCATAAAAAAGGTCAGATTACGGAAAACTTTACACCGTCAAATTTAAGATTTGCAGCTACAATGCATCATGTGTTAAGTAAAAAAATAATGAAAAATTAATCAAAAAAATCATTCACGTTTGCGGATTCTGAACTTTTTCTCTGAATGCATCATAAACATGATTATTACTGCAATGATGATGATGCAATTCTATAGAAAATGAAAATACTGGAGTTTCGCAGCTTGACGTGTCTAGTAAGATTTTTGTAGCTTGTTTTTGTGGAAAAGGGGGTGTCATTAGGGTCTGCTGTTTGGGAGGCAATGATTTTGGCTACTCCTAAGTTACAATCATATGGTAATGGCAGCAATTAGAATCATTATGTCACTGCAATTCGATAGTTTACTATCCCAGCCCTCAACAATTCACTTCTGCAACAACAACAAAAATGCGCTCCTACACTTTCTACTCAAACTTTAATAATAACAAGCATCATTGCTAATTTTCTCTCCTTTCGTGTAAACGAAACAATTTATGCAAATAATCTGATTGAGGGGATTTTTTTTTGTTCACTCTCAGCGATGACGAAAAAAATTCCAATTCATTTGTTTACAACTTCATTACTCATCTCATTCAAGGTACTATGTAAATTAAGTATTTAGTACTTACTCCATTTAGTAGTCCCATTTGCTCTAGCGGTCGTTTATTCCTCGGATAAAACCGATGCGCCAGTGCCACCAGCGTGTCATCATAGCCAAACACCAGCTCATCCGCTGTTTTAGACACAAATGGTTTGTACTGTGCCGCCGTTAACGCAAACGATATTCCTTTTTTCATAATATATGTAAGGTGTTTACTTTGCGTCGTTAGCGTCTGTGAAAAGCATTAAAAAATGAGACATTGAGGCTTTATCAAGGGCTTTATGTGACTCACCAGTAGCGGTATATTCGCTGTAGTTAGCCGAAGATTCTGATCGACACTCAGCTCCGGCACGAATTGTAATATTTTGTTATGCTGATACGACACTGTGTAATTGTCATAAAAATTTATATTTACTTTTTCCATGTCTTCTCTGTAAAGCAGATAGAAAGAAAAATAATGAGCGATTAACATTAATTTTTTGGCGTACGTAGAAGAAGCAAAAAAAAATAGTCACAATTAGCTAAAATTTACACAATGTTTGTGATTAGTCTATTGCATGCATATAAAAGTAATTGAACTCTGTTGATTGCAAATTAAGTGGCAATACCAACATGTGTGTACAAAAATAGCACCGCGAAGAGAAAAAATTGGGTCAAAAAGTGTGCAACTTGGAGTGTAAGAAAAAAGAAGTTTAAAGTCTAAGGAGTCGGAATTTTGTTGTGGGGAAATTATGTTGATTCAGATGGAATGTGTGATTTTGAAAGAAAGCTAATAAAGCTTCAAAAAAAACAGGTTGATAAGTTCTTAAATTAAATCGAATCTTTTGGAACTTATCTTGGGTATGTAACAAAGCTTGCATCTTGGAACAGACCTCTAAGGCTGGTTTCTTGGGATGCTCGAACTAGGTAACCCCTAGTAACCCCAGAAACTGGCCTATGAACCAAATCAAAGCCACACTCTCTAAATTAACAACATCAGACACTAATAGCTACCATACCTCATGTCAGTCGGTCAATATTTCAGCATCCATACCACCCATCTACACATCAGCTAATATATTTCATTAAAATAAAAGCCACACTTAAAAATAATGCGAGACAAAATTCGCAAGATCGTATAAATGATGAGTGTGGACATACATTTCTCTATCTCTCTCTTTCTTAAGCATGATGCTGCTTCCAAGCCACTAGCCATGTAAACGAACAAAATTATACGGTCATTCAGCTATGGTAATAAAACATTTTAACTACCTTAACAGCAAAGAAGACAGCGTAAGCGAGAAAGAAAGAAATGAAAATGAAATGGAGAAAAAAAATCTCGTTTTTCTGTTGCCGACATAAACAAAAGTCATATGATTCAATGAATGCATGTGCTATGGTATTTATTTACATTGAATGCTGTGCCAATATCACACGACATGAGCAAATGAAATGGGAGAAAAAAAAAAGTTTGCAATGCCTTTAATCTTTATTCGGAAAAATTGAATTACTTGTAATGGATAATTGTGTCATCGGTGATAAGTTTATGATGAAAGATTTATTGGACATAGATTAAGCAATTGTAAAGTGCTTGCGGTACTTAGGCGAATAATTGCTGTATTTATTTGTCTTTAGAATGTCGTATGAATGACGTATTTGCAGTATTTGTCTTGTGAATTTACTATTGAACTTAATGGTCAGGTGCATGCAGACACAAAGCTAGTAGGAAATTATTTTAATGAAAAGAAGGCAAATTTATGATTTGAAAGGGAAATTAATTATGGAAATCTGGCTGATTACTTAAATAATTGATATCTTTTGGATGACTTGATATCATCATCAAATTCAATGAGTTTAAAAGCCTTCAATTTTTGAGTCGCGACTAATTGACACATTGGTCTTAATTTTTATCCGATTTTTCAGTTGTCATTAAGTTTATGAGCGCTAAAATTTATACAATGTGTAAAATGATGATAAGTACTGATTTTATGGCTGTTTAAGATTTTTGTAGGATGAAACTCATATTATGTTGGATTTGACTAGGCTTTTTGGATATATTTTAATATTGTGAATCTTTGTAATCTTTATAATACTCTGAGTGATTATTATGAGATCGAATTTTAATGGGAATCGAACTCATGTCCTTAAAGAACAGGGATAAAGCTTCCAGTCTCTTTACTAGCCACTGAATGGATCACTAAAGCTAAACTAAGTTCATACAAGTTCAAACTTTTATTCAATCTATGAAATCAGCTGTTTGATGTCCCGACTACATAAAAATCTCACATCTGTCGATCAAACTTCTTTCCAAAACTAAAGCTTTTACAGTTGAGAAAAACTTTTATCACAAAGAACTTTATAAAAATGAAAATTCCAAAAGAAAATGCCAAAAGTTTCGACTCTCACAAATATTTGAGATAATAAAATAAAAAAATTAAAGATTGCATGTGCAATTGAAGGAGAGTGAAAAATGTTACAAGAATTCTTTGACTAAACAAGTTTGGCTTGCACACATTTAATCTTTTTTTTTTTTTCTCTTTCAATTTTAGTATCGATTGCAAAGTTTTTAGCATGGAGCATTTGCTTGGTTAGTCAATGTGTGCTTTTAACGTTATGATATTGTGAATGGAGAAAGAGCTAGTTTATTATATAAAATGAAAAAAATATAAACCAGGCAGCATATATATTAGCTTTTCTTCACTCCGTCTGCATTTTACGAAATTTTTCGTGCAATTAAGTGAAAATATAAACATACTGAATGTGTACTTGGGAGTCGTCGAATAGTTTTTTTTTTATGTTGGTAAATCGTAAATTTTTCTAATTGAACTTTTTCATTTTATAGCAATAGACATGCGATTTTTTTGATGACTTTGTATACTCCGACGACTTTTAATAACTTATTTTTTTTTAATTTTGTGGTCAATTTAAGTTATTTAATTATATTTTAAACTGTCGTTAAGTGTCATATACATAATCATTTATAATAGCTTCAATGGACTTTTGATAATTTTTTTATTTTCAATATAACGATAGTTCGAGGTGTTTTAATTTTGTCATGGCAAATAACTATAACCATGTAACAGATAAAATAAAAATATATATGCACACATCGATCTCATGTGCGACTGTGTAAATTTGCAAAAAAAAAATCTTTAGTGCAACAACAGTGGCGATGGACAGAGTTGAGGGTGGGTTTTTTATTGGATGTGGAGATGCAGAGCTCGAAATTTATACAAACGTAATGAACTGTGAAGCTCTAGTCGACATTTTTGGATCAAAACTTAAATAACCTTTGGTATCAGCTTTAAAAAGAGCTAGCCGAGTTTCTAGGATCGTTTGTTCATTTAGTTAATTGAATAGAACTTTGGCACCAAGCTGACATGACTCTGAGATGGTGCTGGTTTCGATTTAAATCCAGCTCCATGCCAGAGTGAAACCTTCTCTGTACCAGATTGCTAAACGATTAACCGACTTGTGCCATTCGGGTTGATAATAACTAGTGTAGAATCTAGATTGCGAATCAGGAACTGCAATAGCTTCATCAACCCAACTAAGCTCCACTTACACCCGTATTACTTCATCAAACAGGTTTAGACCTCCTGACTATTAAGTTATATTTAAAGCAAAACCAAATAGCAAAACTCGGTTCAACCAAATAGAAACTCTGCAACAAGCTGTTGTAATTCTGGCGAAGTATTGGATTCGATTTGAGTCCAGCTTCTAGCCAGAGAAACGCAGGTTTGGTGCTGGATTTCTATTCAATTAACCGATTTGCGCTATTCGAGTCCAAAATTATAGTAATAGGAGAACATCACATAGTAAGAGAGGAGAGCAAGGAAGCTAAGATACAAAATTTTAATTATTTGATGCACAATTTTGATAAAAAGAGGCACATTTAAGGAACCCTTAGCAACAAAACCAAAACAAACCCCAATGTCAACTCTGCATTACCCTCAAACAAGAAGTCTGAATCTCATTAATTTGTGCATCTCTTGGAAAGAGTTTTTTTAATTTTAATAATAATGACATGTGAGTGAGCTAGTAAGTAAGTTAATGAAACTCTTGTGTTAAAAGGAAATTTATTGAAAATATTAATATTCATTGTGTCTCATGTGCTGCATATGACAACAAAATAAAAAAAGGTTCATGGATGAAGCTCAAGCAGACAATTAAAATGCATGTGTTAATGAGACATCTTTTATTATTTGCACAAATCTTGTTGCATTGGAGGAGTGAGTATTTAAAGTCATGAAAGAATTCAAAGCACGGTAAATATGAAAAATCCACTACTTTAAATATGGCACATAGAGTTAAGTGAATATAATTATATGTAGAAAAAAAAGTAAGTGTATGTACTTTTCAAATGTCGTGTTACACCGCGAAAAAAAAGCTACAAAATGTTGTTTTTCTTATAAAAGCTTAACGACCTTGATCTCAATTTAATATCTATATGGATCTGAGTTCGTTGAGTCACTACGGTTAAATATCTTCCTGATAATAAAAATTGATTTAATGTCGTTTGCATTTTAAGACTAGTTTTTGTTTTGAACATCCGACAAAGAAAATTTATGTTCCGATGTCGATGAGAGTCGTGAGAATTGCCAAAAAAAAATATTGGCAAATGATGATCTCAGACTTTCAAGGACAAGTGATGTTATCATTTTATGGACTTATGAAATAGCGGCTTTTTTATTGAATTGATCATGAAATCTATCAATTGCGGATGTGAGGATGAATATGTAATTTATGAGATGTAATTCTTTACTGAATTGAAGGAAATTGATTGTTTTGGCAGCAAAAGCTCATTGTACAACCTGTCCAACTTCCAAAAATCGACCACAAATCCTTCAACCAATCAAAATAATCAAAACAACTCTCAATTGACTTCCACATAGTTTCAGGGGAGTTCCCATTACAAAGCACACACCCACTTCAACAGAACTAAACTAGAATTAACAAAAAAACCGCTAATTGAACTTTTCTATGAAATTGACGTAATTAAGCTCAAATCGTGAAATGGCAATTGCAGGGAAAGTTCACAAAACAACAGGAAATCATCTGAATTGAATAAATTAACAATGAATACTAATACCCTAAATCATTATCAATTAATATATTCATTCAATTGTCAATAAACTTATGTACGTGGGTAATTGATCTCGTTTGAGAAGTTTTAATGAATTTAATTAGACGTTTTCTTGTTTTTAAGGAATCAGAACTGGTGCTGACGTGAACGAATAAACTAAATTATAATTTTTGCTTCCTTATGTTTGTAGGAAATAAGTGAATTAATGAGCTTACCTATAGACAAATGGTCCTACTTCAACTAATTTCGGCTTTTCACCATTGAGAAATCCTTCTGGATTTGTAACATTAAAAATATAGACTTTTGTTAATCTTATAACACCTGGCCGTTGCCAGTAATGAAAACTTAATGTATCATTCCATAATCGTAAATTCTGTGAATTTAATAAAAAAATTATTGAGATTTTCATAAAGTTAAAACACAATTTAAAAACAAAAAAAAAGCTTCAATGTCTTACCTTTAAAATAAAATAATTTAACCAGGGCACACTAGCTAATATGACACCAGCTATTAAAGTAATTATACCAAATACTATCACAGCACAGCGGTCTAAAATAAAATTATAAAATAAAGTTTATAATGGCAATAAGTGGTGAACTAAGCATTTGTGGATTTTAAGAATAAAATGAAATTATTATTCACACAATAATGATGATGATGATCGCTTTGTTGACTTTTAATACCACTGAAGAAAATCGCAAGTAGCAAAGGCTAGAATTTAGTGTTTTTTTTGGCAAAAAAAGATATTATGGACTCTGATCGATTGCCAACAGGTGTGCGAAAACTCATGGTAAGTTGATTTTTATGGATGAATATTTCATGACACTTGAGCTGAGAATATTATTGTGCGTAGATTGCGATAAATAGTATTTATAATCAATGTTGATTCGCAAGACAAGTGGAGGTAAACGTGAGTGTTATCAAGTTGTTTTAAAAATATCAAATGATTCTTAAATCTGCTTCTTAATGAAACGTGTCTTTGAGTTGGCAAAAATTATGATAATTTTTTTTTTATCATCTTAAGTTTGAATTTTGATGATGCAAAGGGGAAGACAAACTGGCGGCAAATTATTATTGATTTTGGAATCAGAGAGGCGATGTGTTTAAATGGAGGAGTTGGAGTTGTTCCAACATTATTGAGACTTAGTTCAAATTTTGTTTGGATCTAGTTTAAGTTCCACATTAAATATGATTTTCATTGTCGAATTGGTCAAGTCAGGTAATCGATTAAAAGTCGGATACCAATCCGGTGTAATTTTGGAATAGAGCTGGATTTAAACCAAACTCATTCAAGGGGTGCAGCCAGGAAGCAGATTTTGGAGATTTTCCTTAAATTGCTAGGTTTTTTTTAAAAAAAGGTAAAAATCTTCCCGTAAAAAAACTACTACAACCCCTAACGTAAAAGATTCCTCTCTACGGCCATGCTAGAGTCAAGCTAGCTTGGTGTCAGATTTCTGATCGTTTAATTGAATTGCACTATCCGAGATATAGTTTAAACATGTTTACAGTTCAGTTTCTGTGAAGTTTATTCTTACATAACATTCTCATTTCTTAACCATTCCCCATCCCTAATGCATCCCCCTGTTTCAAAAAAATTAATCGCCTCTCAGCAAAACGTGCCACATCTAACAAAACATTGACACCAGCCAGTATGTGGCTTTTGAATATTAATTTTTTTTTTCATTCTTAAAATTATTCCTTTTGGATTTCTTTCATCTTTTCTGGATTCCCATAAATTTTTAGATTTCGTTGCTATTAAAAAGACATTCAGATTTTTTCTTGCAGAATTTAATTCATAATGTTCCGAAAAACTGATCTTTCGAGATTTGCAAATATTCTTGATGACTTTTTTTTTGTTCTTGTTCATCTTATCTGTCTGTTTTGTCAATTAACTTAGGTTGTATTTTAAGCGACAAATGAAAACGAGTGGATGTTAATGACTTGTGATAAATTATTGCATTATAAACTTCACGTGTAGTCTCACAAGATTTATACTGTTTGCCAAAATGTGAGTCATAATGGAAATAAAAGTCAGATGAGTTGATTAATGTGGTTTGGCTTGTTATAAATTCTAGAAAAAGAAGATTTTGGGGAGAATTTATTTAATTTCAATTTCAACAATTTAATGTAATTTAATTTAAGGTATAAAACTTCTAAAATGCAAGCCTAGCATAATATAATTTGATTTAAATAACTGACTTTATTTGAGATTAGTCCAGGGATTTGTTTCAAGACCAGAATCAAATCAAATCAAAATCAGAGTAAAGAGAGTTTTAGTCAAGTCAAAAAAATAATTCACAAAAAAAAGTTCATCAAACTTCTGATTTTTTTGAATGAAATTAGAACAGCCTAATTTGCATTAAAGGTTCTTATTCCATTAATTTAAAAATTCCAGAACACCAAGAATCTCTACAAATCTATTCCAATGACTTACCAATTTGGAATGTTTGCGAATAAAAGTTTCTAATCACAAACTAGTTTTTAAATACGAGAATAAGACACCTGCAAAAATCTAAGAATCGCAAAAAAAAGATCCTTATAGGAAATGCCTTAAAGAACATCAATCTTTTGATTTTTACGCTTAAATCTACGATTTTTAATTTTTTATAACCTTCACATTGAATTCCAATTCGATTTCATTCATCACTTTCGAATATGTAAATTGATTACATAAAACAGCTATTTTTGGATTATAAAATGAATATTTTTAAAAAATTCATTGACCCTACAAACAAAACGGTTTTCATTTCTTTACAAGCCAGTGGCTGGAACTTGAATTCGTAGACATGCTGTCTACCGATCAACATATTAAAACATATGGGCAAGATCAGAAAAAAAGGGAATAAATATTCAAATTCAGATTTCTCTGCTTTTAATAACTTAATTAATATGATTCCTTCACTACATGATAGCTAATAATAGTAAGTTTCTTTTTAACATTCATTTTTCAAAATGGCGACTTATTAAGTTAGTTTAATTGACAAATTAATATTTGAAATCGATTTTTCTTTGAAAAGAAAGCAAGATAAATGTTTGGAAGCTTGACAAAAGTTGTAGAGCTTGTTTTTAGCGCATTTTTGAAACTTGTTTCAAAAAGGTAGCTTAATAACGCACTTTGGTCGGCTGGTCGGCTGGTCGGCTGGCTGGTCGGCTGCTAAGAAAAACTTTTAATCTAGACATCGTAGAGAGTTCTAGTTTTTTGCATTAGTTCCGTTATATCGAGTTATTGGCCCGCCGGACATTTAAAAATCTTAAAACAGTGTATTTATGCTATAATTAATGAATTTTTGTTTTGTTTTCAGTGTAAACTGCTCAAATTTTATTTTACCTCTATAATTTCAATATTACCTCTATAATTTCAAAAAATTTCTAGCCGTTGTAAAATTTGAATTTCAAAAAACCGTTAAATGATAAACTTTTTTTGTATGGAAATTCATTGGAACAAATTATTTAATTATACTATAATTATTATTTCGTAGTGCAACTTATAGCGGGAAAATTTCAAACTATTTATTGACCGTTAGAAAATTTGAATTACAAAAAAATGTTAAATGATAAACCCTTTCTGTATGAAAATTCATTGCAACAAATTATTTAATTATACTATAATTAATTTTTTCGTAGTGCAACTTATAGCGGGAAAATTTCAAATTATTATTATATTGACCGTTAGAAAATTTGAATTACAAGAAACCGTTAAATGATAAACTCTTTCTGTATGGAAATTCATTGCAACAAATTGTTTAATTATACTATAATTAATTTTTTCGTAGTGCAACTTTTAACGGCAAAATTTCAAATTATTTACTGACCGTTAGAAAATTTGAATTACAAAAAATCGTTAAATGATAAATCCTTTCTGTATGGAAATTCATTGCAACAAATTATTTAATTATACTATAATTAATTTTTTCGTAGTGCAACTTATAGCGGGAAAATTTCAAATTATTTATTGACCGTTAGAAAATTTGAATTACAAAAAACCGTTAAATGATAAACCCTTTCTGTATGGAAATTCATTGCAACAAATTGTTTAATTATACTATAATTAATTTTTTCGTAGTGCAACTTTTAACGGCAAAATTTCAAATTATTTACTGACCGTTAGAAAATTTGAATTACAAAAAATCGTTAAATGATAAATCCTTTCTGTATGGAAATTCATTGCAACAAATTATTTAATTATACTATAATTAATTTTTTCGTAGTGCAACTTATAGCGGGAAAATTTCAAATTATTTACTGACCGTTAGAAAATTTGAATTACAAAAAATCGTTAAATGATAAATCCTTTCTGTATGGAAATTCATTGCAACAAATTATTTAATTATACTATAATTAATTTTTTCGTAGTGCAACTTATAGCGGGAAAATTTCAAATTATTTACTGACCGTTAGAAAATTTGAATTAAAAAAAACCGTTAAATGATAAATCCTTTCTGTATGGAAATTCATTGCAACAAATTATTTAATTATACTATAATTAATTTTTTCGTAGTGCAACTTATAGCGGGAAAATTTCAAATTATTTATTGACCTTTAGAAAATTTGAATTACAAAAAAACCGTTAAATGATAAACCCTTTCTGTATGGAAATTTATTGCAACAAATTGTTTAATTATACTATAATTAATATTTTCGTAGTGCAACTTTTAACGGCAAAATTTCAAATTATTTATTGACCGTTAAATAATAATCCTTTCTATATAAGCATTCATTGTAACTTTTTGTTAATTACACTAAAATTAATGATCTTCTAATCTTCTCATGATCTGTAAATGAACGCAAAATAATTACATAATCAAATACTGATCGCTAACACAAAAATGCGCTTAAGTCCCTCGATCAATAACACGAGGACTTCTGTAATTTTTTTCTATCATATGATCAAAATAGATTTTATTAAAAATGAGTTATTTTAATTAAATTAACTGAAAAACAAATTGAATGTAAAATGTATTTTTAAATCAAAACTATTAACCTTAATCGGTCAAGAACAATTACTTGATATCTAAAGAGTCTTTTACTATTTAATTTACATTCGAAAAAGGCTTAAAAGTAAGTTAAATTAACTATAAAAACAATGAAATTTAAGTTGAGCAACAAATTTTGCTCTTATTTGCTCACAAATTTATAATTTTAAAAACCGTTACAAAATTTTTGGTCAAATTTTTTACTATAATTTAATTTTCTCTGCTTGTCTTGAACAAAAAGTAATATTTCTTTTGCAATATGATAAACATTGTTGAATTCTATAGTTTGAAATGAAAAAATCAGTAGACGAATAACACAGCAATGACTTATGACTAGTTTTGTAAAACTCATCATAACTTGGTTAATTATAGTAGAATTGAAAATTTTCTCTCACAAACTTAAAGAAAATTACATATGTTACCTTTTTTGTTAAGAAAGATAGTTCCTAAACGATTTCCTTCATATCAAAATTTCAGCTTCAACATTTTAAAGCTGAATTAAGCTAACTTACAAATCCGCCATTTTGTATATTTTAGACAAAACTTTTAATGATTTGATTGCTTAATTATCTGGTG